ACTAAAATGTAAATTATCTTTAAGAGCAGCGACACGATCCTGCAGCATGGAACTTCTCTTTACACATGAATATATATTTGCAAAGCTTAAGTTTTTCTAAAACCTGAATAAGTTTACACTTTTGAAGATGAGAAAAGTTTGTTTGTCCAGTTTTCTTGGTCTTGTAAAGTTCTAAAATTGTTTTTTCTTTTCATTTATTTTATCTTATTTTGCTTCTGATCCCATTTTTTTCTAAGAACTTTTCATCCCTCAAGTTTTTTCTTTTTTTTAAGTTTGTTTTTCTCTCTTTGTTTGTACTATTTAATTTTTGTTCCTTTTTACATTTGCTTTGAAAGCTGATTTTTAACTGCATGTCTTTTTCAGTTTTTTTCTTGCTTTTTTCTCCTTTTTAATTTTTTTTTAATTTGTTTTTGATAGTTCAGTCTTTCACTCATTTCAGTCAGTCAGCTTTTTTTATTTTAATTACTTTTATTTCTTTTATTTTTATTCCTTTCTCCCATTATTTCTTAATTAATTCTGAATTTCTTTCCCCATTTTCTTTATTTCAGTTTCTCTGACCTTTGATTTCTTTTTATTTAGTGTATTTTTCTAGTTTTTTGTTTGATTTACTTCCTTAATTGTTTTCATTCTTTTCTTTGAACTGTTTGCTTACATTTCTTACTGATTTATTTATTTTCTTCTATTGCTTTTACCTTTTTTCCACTTTCACCACTCACTTATGGAGAACCTCTGGGCTCTGTCCTGGGGTCTGTTTTATTTTAAATTTGCTCCCTCTCGCATTAATTTTCCAAACAAACAATATTTTATAATTTTTCTCCCCCTAAAAAACACTCAGTCGGAAAAATGTTCAAACTGCTGAGATAATAAAAATAACCTTTTTATTGATTTGACTTTGATTTCTGTCTTTTTACATGCACATAATTTATTTTGTTTCATTCTATTATTATTATTTTTTAAACTTCTTAAAATTATCTTTTAGTGACTTAAAAGGCTTGAAAGAAAAGTTCGTTCATTCGGCTCGATGTTTCATGAACTACTACAGCATATTTATGGACACTGAAGTTTGTCCCTCAACATGAGCGACGTCTCAAACACCATCAGGTAAACACAGTTGTAATTAGTATAATCTGTTGCGTGTTTAAAAATGTTTCTGATGTCAGCGAACGCTCACAGCTGTCGGCGGGCGTCATCGGGTCACAGGTCAGACAGGTTGGTTTGGTTTATTTATAACAAGAATCTATTCGGCATAATTAACCTCCATTAGTCTGGTATGAAGGAGAAGAAGAACCATGCACATGGTTAGTTTACGTGCAGTGAACTTTTTCTTCCTACGTACACACCTGAGGTGTGCCTAAGTGATGTCATTATGTCATTAAAGGTTCTGCAAACACTGAGCTGACACTTAAAAGAGTTAATTTTAAACACTTTTAATGTCAACTTCTAACCTTACTTTTGAAATCACATCATTTCAATGTACTTTTGTGTGTTTTTATTAATATTTATATTGTGGGCTCTGGCATGGTCAATGTCACCATCTTTGTTTTTAAATGAAACTATTTCAACACTCAGACTTCTATGAGCCACTAAAAATAGAAAAACAGACATTTAGACGTTTTTTTAGTGCGTCTTACTCAGAATTTAAAAACACTGAAGCATCTAACATGACATAAACTTCTATGATGAAAGTCAAACTCATTGAAATGTTATTGTTGAGGGCACTTTTGACTTACACACAAATATTTTTGACTGTCTGAAGTTATTTAATTAAAAAATATAATGAAGATTTAATAATTACGAGTGTCTTGTGGGTGTTTGTACCGTGACAATCTCCTTCAGTTTCCTTGTAAAGAGCGCCACCTGCTGAATGACATAGCAAACATCATAAATCCAGATTGTTCTGCAGTGATAGAGCGAGTAATCTGACTTCTATAACAGCACTGGTATCACTCAGCAGATACTCACTACAGGTGATATTTTGACTTCCGACATTTAAAACAGACTTCCTGTAAATAAAGGTTTAGACATGTAAATAAAAGTGACACAGAAAGAAGAGAGCAGCCTCAGAGTTGATGATCAGTAATCATTATTATTATTATTGATCCCACAGCGAACATCAAAAAAGAACAAAACATTTCTACATTCGTCTGGTTCAAGTCGTCTGTCTGTTCGTTCATTCGTTTGTTGAGTCTTTTGTTCGCTTCTCCACAGTCAGACATCCAATCAGATCTCAGCTCCTCACACATCAGGAAGTCAGCGGGTCTCCTTTAAAGCTTTTCTACAAAAATATGACGAGTGACGACCGGATCCGATCACGTCGCCTGATCAATAAATCAACAAAAATACAATCAGGATATGTGTACGTACAGTTTATAGATAGATTTATCTCTCCCAGGAATAGAAGCACTAATATATACACACACGCGCACACACACACGCACACGCACACACTCACACACAGCTGCTGTGGGGCTCAGCGGGTCCAATCAATCAATAACCAATCAGAGGCTGATCAGAAGAGTTTAACATTCCTCTCGACAATCAACACAAGAGTCAGGAGGTCAACAGCAAAGATCCTAAAAAAACAATAGACCAGGACGAGCAGAACAGAGACAGGCCTGCATTTCCCAGCATGCCCCTTGTTCTCTGCCAGCGGTCCTGAGCTTTCCAGCAGGGCCGTAACTGGGGTTTAAGAAGCACAGAGGTCAGGAAATCCTGGAGAAATGTATTCATCAGATCAGGGTTTGAATTCTGGTGAAAATCCTCGACTACTCGAACGTTCAGGTTTGTTCTCCGCAGCAAACGACGAATCAAGATGTTACAGACAACTATGACGAGCTGAAAAAATGCACGAGCAGAAGTGAAATAAACTAGCAAATATCAGATATTGAAGACTTTAATTTGAGCTAAAAAAGAAGCAGTTTAGATGATTTTAAAGGGACAGTGCAGATTTTCTGAAATGGGGTTGAATAAGAGAGACGTCTTTGTTGAGAAAGCTGACGAGGAAATTTGCACGGATGTTTGACGACACATCGCTGCAGACAAGGTCGGCGCTGCTGCGTCATTTAGCTAACGTTGAGAGAATCGCTGCCGTCAGATAAACAAACAGTTTTTAGTTTGGTTCTGTTTTTAACCTGCAGACCCAAACAGCTGATCAGAGCGACACGGATGTGTTGAGTCCACGGCTGTCACTTCATCAAAAAACAAATTTGAACGAATATCGAACACGATGCCCCCCTTCCCTCACCCCAGAGTTAAAAATCTATATCACTTCATTTTACACTTTTATTGATAATTTCACAACATAATGAAAATAACAGCTCAATAAGATTTTAATGTAAATACTCTTTTAGGGAAAATGTCAAATTAGAAAACAGTTATATTCAATCAAAATACTTCCATGTTTTGGTGTCGTGATTTCCATGACAGCTGTATGTCTTTACCATCTGTTATCACTACTGTCACTGTATTGAGTGCTATTCAATGGTCAGGTTACGCCAACAGCACCCTCTATTGGATCAAACTAACTACTCCAGACTGCCTGTTGGCAATGTGGGAGGAGTTAAAAATAGATTAAGAGCTACTCCTCTCTGCAGAAATGATAAAACCTACTGTGAGGAAAAAAGTAAATAAAAAACTGAACATGTTCTGCTGAGGAAAAAAAGTACCATCAAAAAAAGTTCCTTTAAATCTGGAGTATAAATCATTTCAGGTGCGTCCTGTTTGGGTTTAAACTTCACAATATGAAGCTGTCCATTGTTCAGTGATGTAGAGATTTTATGCAGATGTGTAGCTCCATCTTGGAGCTCATCCTTGTAACAATTAACTGAGGGCAAGAGGGGCGTTCGATGGTCAGGTAGCGATAAAAGCGTGACCTGATTAACAGTTAATTTGAACTGAAACGGCTCATTAAACAAGCTTTTATCCCCCCTAGAGCTTGAGTTTTACCTGAACAGTGACAGCCCTAGTTGTGTCTGCAGTTAGTTTGGATATAGCCAAAAAACAAATCTGTTTTCTGATGTCCAAGTAAAACCAAGAGGACTTCACATCAAGAATGTCGTTCAGGACCGCCAGGATCACAAACACTGATTTTTAATGGTTGACACAAATTGATAAGTGACTTAAGTTGTCGCCATTCCCTTCTTGATAACATGACTTAGAAAAGAACCTGCAGAAGTCGTAAATCTGTTCACTCTGTTTCTTGTTGTTTGAATATTGAAGTTCCCAAACCCATAATCCAACGACCCCCAAGTTTCCAGAAACAGTTACAGCCCTGCTACCCTCCGCGCTCTGAGGTCAACCGGGCAACTTTTCGAGGAAATGTTTCAGTCTGTTTGGGAAGGTGAAGCTTTGTTTTTAAGGCTTGTAGAAATTAATTCAGCTTAACGGTTTATTCTCAGGTGATCTAAACTAAACAAAAACAGCAAAAACACAAAAAGACGAGATAGAAGATCTCAGGAAAACTAACAGAAGCTGATCTAAATACTTTACAAACTTTGTTGAGTATCCAAAATAGAACCAGCTATCGGAGCTCAACCAAACTCTGCAGATAAATTAAGATTTAAAGTTAAAGCAGTTAATTAAAAGAAGGGAATCTGCTTTAGGAAGTTTCGTGGTTCAAATGCAAAAAAAGTTCAGTCATGTTCAAAAAGAAAAACTCAAACTAAATTCTTATTCATCATATTGGACTCTGAAGTTCTTCGTATGGGATCTTTTTAAATTAACTTTTTAAGGGTTTATCAGTTAGCTGAAAATGAAACATGGCCATGTTGGAGTAAAAACAGAATTAAGAGTTTTTTTTGCCGTCTACTCAAAGAAAACATAAAAGCGGTGGTTAAAAATGAAACCCAATTTAATTAAAAACTGCACGTCTGCTGCTGAGGAATAAAAAAAGTACATCCAGACAGTCCAGATTAGAAGTCACTCACTAATGAAAGTCTGTTTTTGAGGAGCTCCAAAAGAACTGATTCTCATTTTAGTTTCTGAATTGAGAGCCTCAGAAATCATGCAAGTCTTAGAACTCTGTGAAAGTCTGTATTCATGTTGTTTTCTCCTCCAACATGGCCACAAAACAGCCGATAAAAGCCAAACACGTTTCCTTCTCCAGACTTCTGTTTCTTTACTATCATTCTCAGCGTTTTGTGATCCCTGTTGGACATGTTGCCTCTAAAATTTGGGGACAAATCTTTTTTTTGTTTGTTTTTTTTTGCCATTTTTCGGCCAAATGCTGGGAAAGAAAACCAGACATTTAAACTCTGTAACATTTTAATCCTTGTGCGCAAAAAGTAGCCTGCACCATTTGGCATCCCAGGGGAGTCCAAAGTTGTGACCCATCTTCAGTTCAACATTCAAACTAAAATTTCAAACATGAGATAAAGCGAAATGTTCATCCTCCCAGAGCTTTTGTTCTAAAATATTTACAACAGCGTCTAAACGTCAGTGTCGGTTTCTGATCCTCTGAGGTGAAATAAACTGAACAAACATTTCGATTAACCGCGCACCAATTGGACCAACATGGACCCACAGCCAGCAAACACACACCATGGTTCAACCACAGAGCAGCTACTGGACTAGTTATTACTGAACCCCACTCTGCAGGGAGTCAAGGTAAAAGCAAATCAAACACACCCGAAGAGGATCTAAAACACTCAAGAGGTTCTGGAGTGGCTGATTTACACGCCACAAAGTAATGATTTCAACTAAAACAATCAAGAGCTCTAAAACTGGGTCAGACAAAAACTTTTATGCACAATCAAAATGGAAACATAAAGAAAAACTGCAGAAAAAAAGGCAAAAGATGGTCGCTGCAGAGACGGAGAAGGACGACAGCGTCTGAAAATGATTAAAACTGAAATCTAAATGTTCTACGAGGAGATGAAGAATAAAATAAGACACAAAACGAGTTCCAGCGATTATCAGTCAAAGTTTCATCTTTAAACTGAAGTCAGTAAAGTTATCCAGCAGAGGGGGGAGATAACTCTCAAACCAGCCTCATTTGTGATTGGCCGGAGGGGGCAGGAGGGGGGCGGAGCGATCATTCGTGACGGTCCGTTTCAGTCGCACTCCTCGGATCTGGCTCAGCATGTTTCCTCCTCCTCCTCCTTCTCCTCCATCCTGGATCGGCTGATCCTGGCTCTGGTTCTGGATCTGGTTCAGGCTGGAAGGGGGAGGGAGCTGGGGCTGGTAGTGAGCGCCGTGGCTCAGACCGGTGGGCTCTATCTGAGGAGCCGGGGCCGGGGCCTGGAAGTCGGCCTGGTGCTGCTGGAAGAGCTTCTGTTTCTGCAGCTGACTCAGCTCCTGTTGCTGAAGCAGCGGCTGTTTGAACTGCGGCTGTTGTTGTTGTTGTTGCTGAAACTGTTGATATTGTTGCTGCTGTTGCTGTTGTTGTTGAAAGTGTTGATATTGTTGTTGTTGCTGAAACTGTTGATATTGTTGCTGCTGCTGTTGCTGGATGTGGACCTGCTGGTTGTACTGCTGTATCTGAACAGACTGCTGTTGGTGGTTCATCTGCTGTCTGAGTTGCTGTTGCTGGTGCTGGAGTTGCTGCTGGTACTCTCTCTGCTGCTGCAGCTTGGTGTTGCTGCCCTCTTGTGGCAGAGAGGGTACGGTGGGCACAGGCACCGGGATGGGCATCTGACCAGGGACCAGCTGGTAGTACGGCGAGGAGGAGGAGGAGGAAGAGGAGGGGGGTAAGGCACTGAGGCTCTGAGTGGAGGTGCAGAGTTTACTGTAACCTAAACCTGCTCCTCCAGGAGGGGGCGCTGCAAAAACATTCTCATCACTGCCGCCGTTTCCCGCCAGAGCTTTAAGGGGAACCTGCGGGGTGGAGATGGGGATGGGAACACCTCCACTGATTGTCCCTCTACGATACGCCGGTTTGGACGACGGTTTACGCCTGATGGTCGCCGTGTGCGATGGCAGCTGGCGGACGGACCCGCCCATCCTTTCTGGCTCGGCCAGCAGGCTGACGGTGGAGGCGGGGCGCTTGGATTGAGCGAACTTCCTGAACTGGAAGCTGAGGTCGGAGTTCCTCGGGATGGTGGAGGACTTGTCAAAGTCTGATTGGCCGCTGCCGTGAGAGAGGTGATGGAGGGAGATGGAGTCGACGTCTCCGTGGAGGGAGATGGACTCGTAGTCAACTAGAGAGAGAGAGAACAGGAGAGCAGGTCAGTGGTTTATTAGAAGAGACGTAGACCGAGCAACAGGTGCAGATAATTTATCGTCTCTACTGTGTTGCTCTGAGAGTTTCCTCTTTTTTAAACCTGGACTGAAAAATAACGAGCTGATACAAAAACAGTTACCAACATTAGAAAACTTAAAGGCTAAACTATGAAGCTCTGAGCTCCAGATGTGAAGCTACATGCAGATGTGATGACATGATAAAAGCCTGACATGATCTTAAAGATAAGCTGGTGAGAAGGCAGAAATACAGACAGACAGATAGAGACCTACCCTGAAGAGGAGGGTCTCTCCTTACAGCTGGAAGAGAAGGAAGGAAGTTTAGCTCAGAAAACACCAAACTACTGAGAGATTCACCATGAACACCGAGAAACAACAGGAGAAAGGAGTTAGAGAAGAAGAAGAAGAAGAAGAAGAAGAAGAAGAAGAAGAAGAAGAAGAAGAAGAAGAAGAAGAAGAAGAAGACAGGTTATCAGCTGTTTAATCCAAACATGGAACTAAAGAGGACGGTTGAGAGGGTCTGTGTCAGTGTTTGTTACAAAGACAGAGTCAAAGAGGATTAGGGATTTGCTTTGAATCAGTGTTATGTGGAGGTCTGACTCCTTCACGTAGGAGAAAGTAACATAGAAAGTGTGTGTATATGTGTGCTTGAGTGTGTGTGTGTGTATGAACTCAGAGAGAGAGAGAGAGAGAGAGAGAGAGAAGAGAGAGAGAGAGAGAGAGAGAGAGAGAAGAGAGAGAGAGAGAGAGAGAGAGAAGAGAGAGAGAGAGAGAGAGAGAGAGAGAGAGAGAGAGAGAGAGAGAGAGAGAGAGAGAGAGAGAGAGAGAGAGAGAGAGAGAGAGAGAGAGAGAGACAGAGAGAGAGAGAGAGAGAGAGACAGAGAGACAGAGAGAGAGAGAGAGAGAGAGAGAGAGAGAGAGAGAGAGACAGAGAGAGACAGAGAGACAGAGAGAGAGAGAGAGAGAGAGAGAGAGAGAGAGAGAGAGAGAGAGAGAGAGAGAGAGACAGAGAGAGAGAGAGAGAGACAGAGAGACAGAGAGAGAGAGAGAGAGAGAGAGAGAGAGAGAGAGAGAGAGGGAGAGAGAGAGAGAGAGAGAGATTTTAAAACTCTGAATAACATCACAGACTTTAGGAAAGAGAGGATGTTAAGAAAGACGGTCAGGTGTGTGTGTGTGTGTGTGTGTGTGTGTGTGTGTGTGTGTGTGTGTGTGTGTGTGCTACCTTTCCGGACGCAGACAGGGCTCGGGCTCTCTCTGCATGGTTTGTATACGCGTTGGGAGGCGGGGCCAACAAGCCATTCTCCGCCCCTCCGCTTCCCGAAGCTGCGAGCTGATTGTTGGAGCCAAGGGAGTCCTGTCAGGAACAAACATACAGGATTTCAATAAAAAACAAACATAAGGAGATTTTTTTAAACTACAACATGTCTGACGAAGTAAACAGAGAAAACAGAGACCCGGACAGCTGGATTAAAGTCCGACAGTTTCAGAGGAAACGCTGGATTAACGAAACTGTGAGGAGACCCAGAGTGAGAAAAACCATCTGAGATGAGATCCTCACAACAGTACAAACAGTCTGAGTGAGCTGCTGCACAAAGTTTAAGATGTAGTTTCTTTACGCTGGATTAACCTGAAGAATCTCAAGATGAAATGTGGATTTTGCACAAAGTGAAGTCTGCAGAGTTGCTGCACAACTCACTGCAGTCCGAGAGCCCGTTTATCACCACTTTTGGCTTTAATTGTTAGTGCAACAAATGATCCGTGCAAAATAACAGTAATAGATGTACAAACTTTATTCAGTGTCTCCCTTTTATATTTTAAAAACAGAGAACTGTTTGGAGTATTCATGATTACATTTTATTTATATTGTCACTCTCTAATATTTATCAAAGCTGACTCTGGAAATTACGCACATTTGAGTTTTTAGAAAGAGTGAGATTTACAGGATAACCACCAGGATATTTCTAAATTTCCTAAATCGAAAACTGACAGAGGACCAGACGACTTCTCACAGGAGTCTAACATACAAAACAACACATCTGAAGACGACATTTAAAAGACAGAAAACACGCCGAAAAGAGGAGCACAATCAGACAAACACGTAAACAAAACCTCACCACTGTACACAGAGAAAAACACTTCAATAATTCAGAGAAAAGGAGATGTGTTTAGGTTCAGTATGACTTCATGGTATGATAAGAGGGCTGGGTTGGATATTCATGGGGTTTGCTGGCGTATTTGAAGTGAATGAAGTCTGTGACGGTGTGACGATGGAGACATGAGAGTAAAACACCAAAACTGCGGGGAGGAAGAGCGTGAGATGGATTCGAACCGATGGAGGACAAACTTTTACATCAAAATAAAAACACAGGACGTCACTCAAAGAAGTTTGAGCTTTTCCTCACGGTGATCTTATCCCTGCGGCTAACACGGCGGCTCAGCGCGGGTCGAGGGCCATGGCCAGCGGCGTAACCGTAGCGACCACGGCTGCCCTGACGGCCGAGGCGAGAGGGGGAGTTCCCTTCGCTGAGAGACCGCCCGGTTTCATCGCAGCCAATCAGCAGATAGGGGGAGGAGCAGCGCTACACACACAGGAGAGGGTGAAAGCGGTGTGTGTGAGTGAGTGTGTGTGTGTGTGTGTGTGAGGTTTTCGTCTTACTGAAAAGCTTTTATTTTGAAGGTCCTGAAAGCGCTCAAGTCTCAGTGATGTTAACAAGAGGGTTTGTGTTTATATTTGAGTGGATTGTTCCTTTATTTCATCAACCACATGATAAGATTAAATAAATAATTGACCTGCATTTTCAGTGAAGCTTTAATTATGTTTGAATGAAATTTCAGGTGAAATCTTGAGATCCAACCACTCAGAAAATAAGACGTCAGAGTTTTTTATAGACCTGAAAAAATAATCCTTTCATAGGCTTTAATTTTGACTTTTGGCCTCATGTTTTCATCGAATGTTTAAAATGTTAAATGTTTAAAAATCTAAGGAGCAGATTCAGGGATAACCAAAATCAGAGAGGTTCATATACATCCAGAGAAACAGAGGTACTTTACAGGGTTTTATTTGACTTAGTTTGTTGGTTAAAATAGTAAAAAAATCAGTATATTGTGGTTTATACAGTGTGTCTAGAGTGTGTTTGCTTGTTGCTTGTTACCTGGATGTGAACTCCATCCACAGCACAACTGATGGAGTCTAAAGAGGGAACATGTCTCACTGATCCAGACTGGTAGTTACTGCAGAAATACAAAAAGTCCATTAAATAAAGCTGAGACAGAAGCAGGAGGGTCAGGTTAGAGGATCCAATAAAGTAAACTACAACGCCAAAACACAACAACAACAACAATAATGCAAAAAATGCATATAATGCAAATAATAATAATAAAAACAAAAACAACAATAATAATAACAACAAAAAACAATAATAATAACAATAGTAACAATAATAACAAAAACAACAACAACAATAATAATAATAATAATAATAAATTATATTATTAAAAATGACAATAATAATCATAATAATTATAATTATAATTGTTATATAATAATAATAATAATAATAATAATAATAATGATAATAATAATAATATATCATCAAAATAATAAAAATAATAATAATAATAATTATCAATGTTGTTGTTATTAATTTTATTATTAATAAAAACTTGTTTATGAAAAATCTGCAGTGTTTCAGGGTCTGTGATTGTGTCTTTGTGTGTGTGTGTGTGTGTGTGTGTGTGTGTGTGTGTGTGTGTGTGTGTGTTACCTGCTGATGCTGCTCTTTCTGGACAGGGTGTTACTGGGAGAGGCTGGAGGTGTCTGATAGGTGTAGGTGAAGTCCGATCCCTTCAGGTCCAGAATCACCTGATTAAAAAAGAATTTTAATAAAAGTGTCTCTGTCAGCACTTTTTAACGATAGAGTGTTTTCTGACACCTCTGTGAAAACTGCTCGGGGGTACCTGCTCGCTGGCTGCTGGGAGTTTGTTGGGTTCTGCTGTCAGGTTGGACAGATCCTCCAGAATAGTCTGCAGGTGCGTCACCTCGCCCAGCATGTTGATCTCATGGTCCTGCACACAGACATGTACACACACGTCAGTTTGAGTTTAACCAAAAGGACCTACACACACACTTACACAAACACACACACACACACAAAGCACTGACCAGCACGGGTTTCAGCATGCTGACGAAGCTGCAGTATCGCGCTCGTTCCTCTATCAGCGCTCGGCACACAGCCCGTTTCTCCGTCTCCTCCAGGACAGCGTAACGGACATTTACGTCCTGCAGAGCGCTGTCCAGCTGACCACGGGCCTCATCCTTCCCTACAAGGACACACACACAGGAGGAGAAGACGACTGAGGTAAGAAAAACACTGAAACAGCAACATCTTCTTCTGCTGCCACATGTGATCACTTCTGTCCTCTCTTGATCGATTAAAGGTAAAGAAAAAAAAACAGAAATACACTCACATTGGAAACTTTTTTATATCTTTATGACTGAGCTGTGCCTTGGTTTCTAAAGAAGTGTCACTGTTGTATTTCTGTTTCTACCCCCAGTTTGAAATGCTTTTTAGAGACAGGATAATCAGTACCAGGTTTGAAAAGTTTTCCTTCTATGAGAAGGTCTGCAGGGCAAAGTCCTCTGGAGGACACAGTCTTTTTGATTTAATACAAATAATAAATTTAGCCAATTACCACAATGACAGATTTAAAGATGTAATTTAAGACTTGATTTATCAGCAGTAAAAGCAGAAAGAAGAGTTCAGGGAGGAGCTGCTGCTGTTGGTAAAGGAAGGAGGAACCATAAAGATTTCCTGTATTTTACTTTGTTTAGAAAAAATAAAAGACTTTGGGACTTTTTCTGTCTTTGTTTTGACTTTAATGTGAGTTAAACTTTCTACAGAAGAAAAAAAAAACATTAAGAAAAAAATTTAGATTAGAAAAAAAATATTCTAGTTAGATGACGACACAGGCCAGTTTGACCAGAGAGGAAGAAAAACAACAAAAAAAAGTCTTTAACAGATAAAAGCCCGGATAAGAGGCCTAAAATCCTGATAACACAAACAGCAACATGTACAAGAGGAAAAACAGACTTTATAACCTTGCGGAGGACAAATCTGGATGCAATACCACAATGCTACCATCAGGTGGCAATACAACACTAAGAGAAGCAGGAGAAGACACACTTGTACATGCTTGAGCTTCAGCTGTTTATCACACAGGTGCTGTCTGACCTTTCTCCTCCTGTTGGTGTTTAACTTAGTCAAAAACTAAAAGTCTGGATGTGTTAATCTGTCTGAGGAAAAATAATTACCTTCATCAAAAATCACAAAATATTAAATGAAATTACATATTTCACCCAAAGAAGAAATGACAAACCAGAACATCATCAGACACAAAGACACAGAGCAGACAGAGGGACTCTGAAAATGAACCCAGACACAGACAGACTTCTCTCTCTCTCTCTCTCTCTGATGTGATTTACTCCACTGTTTACTGGGCTTCTCCGCTGACATGTGAGCAGACCAGCCTCATCACATGATCCTGAAACCCTCATCATCACAACAGAAACCTCTGGTCCTCCTCAGACAGAAAACATTTAAAAAAAAGTCGACCACAGAAGGCGGACGATCTGCAGCTGTTTGAATCTTTGAGATTTAATGTGACGCTCGTCACGCCATTCAGCCATAAACATCAACAGGCCGCTCACTGAGTCAGCTGTAACACATGAGCAGACGGACCGAGCGCAAACACTGTGACAAACAATGATGTGCATTTCAATGTCTGTGTGTTGTTCTGTGATGTGCCTTCAGTTCAGTGGTTTTAGGATGAGTGCAGCAGGAGATATAATGACAGAACTTCAGTTGATCAGAGTCAGGATCAGGCTAGGAGGGATCGATCTTAGTTTTTTTAAGCAACAACATTAAACATGAAATAATAATAGAATTACAAATAAGAACATATGAATAATGATAAACAAGCTGAGCTCATGTTTGTGTTTCCTGACAGTAACATGGAGCTGCTTCATCTGATAAACTTCCAGAATCTATTCAGCTGTCATGTCTCAGTTTATTCTTCTGCAGGAGTGAACTGTGTTTTCAATGTTGTTAGATACTAATTGTTGAGCTATTATCAGTGCATTTACTTTGAATGCAGCTGTTTTATATGTTTGCTTCCTTCTTCATCTCCATTAAATTTGTGTTGTTTCTGAATGTGCAGTGAACTTCTCGTTAAGATTGTTAAAGCTGCAGGAGATGTCTCACACCGAAGATATGAGCGCTCAGCCCATACTGTATTTCTACCGATGTCTCATGCATGCTTCACTTTATACATAAAGCCTCACAAAAGCTTGCATTAAACAACGGTCCTGCACAAAGCTCACATGTCCAGTAAAGACTGCACAGTTATCAGCTCTTCAGGTAATGACAGCCTGTAAAAGTGCAGCCAGGGCAGAACAGTCCACCTCCGCTGTGATTATCATTTCCTCTTCTTTCAGTGTAGGATGCATGCCTCTTTATGATTTTTCCACCCCTGTTTTCTACTGACACATCAGTGCTATGTTTTGGTTTACACTGCAAAAAATTGACATGATCCTAAGTTCTGATTGGGGCTGAGTAGATCTCCAAATGTTGAGCAAACATTATAAAAAAGTTTTTTCTTCGACACACAGGCGGGAAATCTTGTGGAAAACAGTGTGAGGAAGGTTTCCACACACACACACACACACACACACACACACACACACACACACACACACACACACACACACACACTGCAGACTTTGTGTCATGAAGTTCAACCTAAACACACTCAGTCCTCTCAGGTGTGTGTGGGAGAGCACAGAGAGCACAGAGGGCGATTTCCACGCTGCGAACAGAAGCTCAGTGTCGGCGTGCTGTTGGTCTGTCTGACGTCTGGCCTCTGTGGAAACACACACACACTTACTCAAACAGACACACACACACACAGGCTGTGTGTAGTCAGACTGTTTCTACCAGACTCTGGCTCTCCACCCACAAAAACACAAAGATCTGGACTCAAAGCCGGGCTGTGTGCAGAGTTGACTTATACTCCGTGTAAAAGGTGAAACACAGTTCAGGCGGAGACGATTCTCAGCAGCTGAGGAAAAACCGCCTCCTCTGAGGGTCAGAGTCGCTTCAATCATCGCGCTGTGACTCGGGGAAAGAAGATCCAGACCCTGACGAGTCAGTGAAGAGTTTCTGCCGCTCTCACATCGAACGACTTTCTGATGACAAACACCGTCAGCTGTGTTTTCAATCATCACAAACAGCTGATCTCATATTTACTGCAAAGGTTAACCTGTTTCTGTTAACAGCTTATTCATCCTGCAGTCTAGACTATCTGAGTCACACACTGATCATGTCATCAGTGTCAGACAGATAAGGGTTTTTTTTAGCGAACACGATCAGCAAGTTTCGATGGAGCGAAGAAGTTAAATGCAAAAAGAAAAAACAGCAAACAGATTTAAAATGAGAAGATGAGACGGATTTAACCTCCGCTGACCTCTCAGCTCATCAGATTTTTCTTCCTCTTTCAGAAAATGTTATCTTTATACTTCAACTCCTCCTCTATTTATTCACTTTCATTTCTGTCTTCCCTTCGTCCTCTTTTACCCTCTCTTTTCTTCATAAACACCCTCGACTCCCCTTTTTTTATATCCTTCTGTACTCGGGAGTCCATGCTCTTCCTCCACCATCCCCCTCTTCTCTGATGAAACCACTTCAGAATGAGATAATTACATCATCCATCCATCTCTTCCCTTTCTTTCCTCGCTCCTCTTTTTTGTCTCTATCATTATAAACATCTGATTTCTCTTTTCCTGCAAAAATCCTCCTCCTCTCTTCTCCTCACTTGATCTGTCTGACCACTTGAACCGCTGCAGAGTCACGGTGAGGATGGGTTCAGACTCCTCCCTTCATCCTCGTTTCTCTGTGCAGATTTATGGAGCGCAACATCTGCAGCATCTTCAGTCCTGCACTATCACTTTCCTTCATAATCCAGCTGCAGTAAAAAAGAGTCAAAATAAGAAGTTATCACAGTTCAGGATGAATAAAAAAAACTGTTGTCTCTCTATATCTCATGGTATGTCTCAGCAGCATGATCAAAACTAGATGACGTCACTTAAGCTGCATTAAAATATGCATAATCCCTCTTATATCACTATAAAAACTACAAAAAACAACATGTAGACTCAAAGTTTTTAAAACGAGCTTCAAGTTGGTATCTTCATGATATTTATCCTTCCATTCGTCTCCATCATCTGCCTCTCTCTCTCTCTTTCTAAGCTGTTGGAGATTCCCGATTCGAGGTGGTTACACGCCACATAATGACAGAGCACACACACATAAACACACACGTACACACACACATAGAGTCATATGAAATAATTAGAGATGGACCAGATGTTTACTGAGAGAAGGTTTTCTTCTTCATGCTGTAAACGTTTCGAACGGTGAAACATAAGGAGAAAAAAGTGACGTGACCTTGAAGCTGGAGGGTAAAAGACTGAAGACGGGAATCATTTTGGAGCTTTGGGTCAGAACTGAGTTTGAGATTCTTTTTGGATCCAAACAAGAAAAAATAAATGCGTTGCTTTGATCAGTTTCACCCTCTTTTTCTGCCTTAATTTTAGTCTTGTTCATATTAAAGACAATTCAAAACCCTGTAGCTTTAGCCCTCAGGTAATCAGATCATGACACTGTGAGACACCCTCTCTAACGGCGACTCTGACACACACAGTTACTGAAGGTAACAGAGGCACAGAAATGAGAAACGTCATATATAAACTGATGTGACCCAGGAGCTGTTTGAGGCTTTTTCTGGGACCTACATCAGGTAAAAACATCATCAGTGACCATGAGGAAGAAACATGGAGGCAGAGAGGATTTACACCTGCAGCTCACTTGTTGCAGATAAGTGACAATATTCAGCCAAAGTCAAAGCTTATAAAGCAGTCACAGGACTGAACTGTTTTTATTTAGACAGACTGGACACAGCTCGGTAAAATATGATGAGTTCTGAATACTCAACAGTCCACCTCTAACATTTGTCCAAAAATAAAACACACTTATTTTAGAAAGGGGATAATCAGGGATGTACCTCAGTTGGTCTTTATCATGGACGACTCACAGGACAATGGTTAACACTGTGAATGTTCGGTCTTATATTCAGAAAATCAGTTTAAAAAAAGGATTAAAAATGATCAATAATCAATCAGGATATTTCACTGAATGAAAACAGTTTAACAAAAACTTTTCTGCTGGAAAACTAGACTCGAGTTAGGAGTAGGTTTTCTTTTACCCACAACAGCGACAGAAGTCTAGTCCCTGTGTGTGTCCTTACTTATTACAGGATGTCTACACACTCACACTCACACACAAACACACATGCACAAACACACACTTTGGAGGAGCAGGATAATTATACTGTAGAGCTGTGATTGGTGAGTAGACAGAACAATTTTGGTTCTCTGTGTGTGTGTGTGTGTGTGTGTATGTGTGTGTGTGCGCGTGTGTGTGTGTTTGTGTGTGTGTGTATCTTTTTCTTTTGCTTATTTGTTTTCTCGTCATCTTTGGGCCTCACAGTTCTCACAGAGTGTAAATACACGCTCATTCAGGTTTACTCGTTTGTTTGGTTTATTAATATTTTATCAACGGTCCGGTCTGGTTGTTGTTATTCTGTCTGTTTTATCTCAAAATACAAATTTAAAAAAGCATTATTCCAGCGGCAGGCTGTTCTTTGCATCAACAGTCTGCCATCAAGGTATAACAGACTGTTGCTATGGATTGTTGCTATGGAATGACCAATCAGACCCAAGTACCTAGTTCAGCTGTGTGATGACAAACTCTAACATGGGGAAACTTCTTTTCTTTGAAGTAACTAGACTTTAAAAATTTCAGAAACTGTCAGAACTGTTTCACTTTTTACGTTTTTTTTAAACAAGACTTTAACCAAAGACACGCAGATGAATCAGTTTTCAGTGCAGTCGCATCCCAACCAAAAATAAACCTTCAAGTTCTTAAACATAAGACTGAGATTTTAACAAACTTAGTTTAGATTTTAAAGAAGGAAGTGAAAGGGGGAAGAAAAAAAAGGGCACACAGCAGAAAACGTGTTCAGAGATGTTAAAGCCACATCAGAAATCACTGTTTACCATGGGCGGGTCTGTGCGAGGACTGAGAGAGAGAGTGAGAGAGAGTGAGAGTGAGAGAGAGGGAGAGAGAGAGAGAGAGAGAGAGAGAGAGAGAGAGAGAGAGAGAGAGAGTCAAAGTATTTCTGTATCTGTGGATTTGCGTATTGGAATTGCAGGGAGGGAGGACAGAGAGGACATTTGTGTAAAGGCCTGGAGGTTACATTTTGATTGTGGTGTGTTTGTGTGTGTGTGTGTGTGTGTGTGTGTGTGTGTGTGTGTGTGTGTGTGTGTGTGTGTGTGTGTGTGTGTGTGCCTGCGCGCATGTGTGTCAGAATTTTTGCCTTTGCACGTGCTTGGGCGTTTCTGTTTTATTTCTACCTCATGAGTCAATCTGCCATCTTTCTTGGCAAGCATTTAGTCCCTTTGATTATGGGATTGCAAGGCCAGGTGCAACCATGGCAACCACAGGGTGTGCCTCTTTGATAGCAGAGCTGGGTGTGGCTCAGGTGAGTGCCTAGCAGTACTTTTGAAAGCGTTGGAAACAGGCCAACTGACAGGCTTAAAGTCACCCGAGGCCTCATAGCACAGGAGCTGCTCAGAATCTGTCGGTCCTCAGGATTTACAGACCACACAGATAAGAAAAAAATGTCTTCAAATCTCCAAACCAGTACATAAAATACTGGGATAAGATCAATAAGACCTGTCTTAAGATGAGTAAATCCTAAGAACCAGATCAAGTCCAACCCAAAAGCTGCTAGTCAGGATAAGGACCAAAACTGACAAATTCTGAGTTTTCACAAAAATTATATCTGACTTGTAATTAGTGATTAAAGCACAAGTGAAGATAAGCCTCAAACGTAACCTAAAAGTTCCCTACTGGAGCTTTAGACAAATAAGTCTATAAAAATTCAGACTAAAAGGATCTTATTTATGCCAAAGGAGCTGGAAATGACACACTGAGTCTGCAGCAGAGATCCAGCGTTAATAGAGACGGTTAATAACCAGCTTTGTTTTAGACGATATCTTTATCTTTCTGTCTTTAACGCCGCCTCTGATTTTAAGAAGTCTTGCACTGGAGCTAAAACGGTGCACACCCTGTGACCAGAGAGGAAACGAGGACAACACACAAGCAAATCAGGGTTTGATTTCTATCACCAGCTGTAAAAACTGAATCAAAGATTAGACAAAACAAAAGCGACATGTGGCAGTTTTGTCGTCAGTGAAACACATTTCAGAGGGATTATGTCTCGTTTCTGTGTGACAGGAGACAGAGCGGAGCATAATGGAGCACAGATCTGAAAAGCAGCCTTATCTCAGCACGATCAAACTGAGTCTTTATGTTTATTTTCTGCTGAGGATTATCCCAGCAGAAAGATGGATTCAACATTTAGCAGGTTTCTCCTTCAACAGGAAACAAACTCTCAGGAGGTGTCAAACTATCTTAATGTGCCCCAGACTTCACAGCGAACACTTCTCATTGTTTCAGGGTTAAATTTCAGTGAAGATTTGAAGATGCAGGAGTTTGAGAGCTGACAGAGGGCTCTTACCTTTCTTAACCTTCTTCTGCAGTTTGATGGTGTCGGAGGATTTCTTCTTAATGTCTGCTCTGGCCTTCTTGTACTCTAAACATCAAGAATAAGTCAGCGGTGAGCGACAGTTTGTGTCTGTAGGTCTGTGTGTGTCTGTGTGTGTGTTTTTACATGCTAGTTTACCTTTAGCGTGGTCTTTGTCCAGCTGACTGGCCACTTTCTTCCACTCCTCCATCTTCAGCTCCAGCGGTGTGATGAGACTCTCTGACAGAGCTCTGAGAAGGAAAAGAAAGACACAGTTAATCTCTGAGATCGGATTAAATTTTAACTCTAAACAGCAGGATTACATTATTCCTGACTCTAATCCAGTGATGGTTTTCACATGAATACCATATTTCAGTCTTCCCACACAAAGACCATAACTGTGAGGTCAACATCTCCAATCAATAGCGTCGATAAGTGTCAATAAAATTCTTTTTTTTCTTCCATAATCCAATTCATCTCACAAAAAAACAAAAATCCATAAAACCAGTTTATGGTAGTTTTGGCGCTGTGGGCAGGATTCAGGTCCTGCAGGAAAAGGAAATCTGTTATCCTCATAAAGCTTCCCAGCATGACAGTCTCTGAAACTTCCTGGTAGACCCATGGCTGCGTTGACTCTGGACTCGTTAAAACACCAACAGTCACGCAGGACTTCAAGCACCTTGGATTCTAGGCCTCTCTGATCCTCCTCCAGACTCAGGGTCCTTGATTTCAAAATGAAATGAAAACAGGACTTTGGACCACTGCAAAAATAGTCCAGTTCTTTTTCTTCTTAGTCCAGATGAGACTCTTATGACATTGTCTCCGGTTCAGGAGGGTCTCGAGAGAAACACTTGTAGTCCATTTTCCTGGACTAGTCTGTGTGTAGAGGCTCTTGATACACTGACTCCAGTCTCGGTCTAGTCCTTGTAAAACTCTCAAGTTCTTGAATCCATGTTTTTGGGTTCATCCTTGTTTCGTGGTCGTCTTTGCCTCACTCACTTTTCCTTTCCAGTCCATGATTCTGCTTCCAAACAGACTCCGAACAGCCAGCTTCCACAGCGAAGACCTTAATGTCCTTGTGGTGGATTGATTGTGGTTGCATGAACTGAACCAGACTGAAAGACTAAAGGCTGTTCAGGTGTTCAGAATTAATCGGCTAATTCGATCTCTTTTCAGGACTGAAACACCTGACAAGAAACCAAACTTTTCCACAACAGTCTAATGTTTTCAGATGTTTGGTTTTAGTGAGCTGTGAGCCAGAATCATCAAGAGTCAAACTATAAAAAGTCTTTAAATATTTCACTTTGAACCTAGAATAAATGGCTGTTTCACTTTTTTAATTAAATTATGGAAAAAAAGAACTTTTTGGGGAGTTTTTGAGCTGCTTTAAACTTCAGAAGAACCCAAACCCACTGTCACTCTGTTATAGAGTGAGACCCTTTCTACAGACTTTACACTCACTATAAACTTCTTAAAGGCGAAGGAGCCGCAGATCCAGGTAAAAGTTCTCCTGAGGTTCTTCACAGTGACTAACCGCCTCCACAGTCATTCAAAAAGTACCGGATTGTGACATTCAACCACCAACTGTGACAAAAATGTTATTCATCCATGACTAACCACGCACTATTTAACTTGAGAGCTATACAATATGTGCGTGTGCGTGTCATCTGACAGTTACTCTGATGACAGCAGCGGCGGCAGAAAGCAGTTGGGGCGTTATAGTGACAGTGACGGGGTTAAATCAGGGCAAACACTGCTCTGGAACATTTCCACACACTCACACTCCTGTGTACCAGCAAACGTCAGCTGAGAGTAATTAGAGTGTCTCGTTCCCACACATTCAGATACTCCTGTGTGACAGCTGTCATCACACATCATTCACACCTTTACCTCTCCTCCCCACATAGTAAATAACACATGCAAATCTTATCTCTGTGGGTGTGTGTGGGGGCGTGTCTTACGTGGTGAACAGTTTCAGTTTGGACTCGATGCTGCGATGTCTCATACACATCCTGGTTAGCGCTGAGCCGATCTCCTTAGTCGCACCTGAAACAAAACAAAATAGAGAAAAACAGATAGAGAGTTTTATTTTGGTAGAAAACCAAACGGGATCGTAGCATATAACCTTTTAAATAACGCTGAGTCAAACTTCACAATAAAAGACCAACGTGTCATCTATCTTTGTTGAATGAATGCTACTGCTGGTAAACTGTAAATACAACAGATTTGATAATAAACCCTCAGATGATTTATTTAATTTCATGCATAGAATAAAAAAAGAGATGAACTCCAGCAGTGAGTGTGTTGATGTCTGTGTGCTTTACTTGCTTCATATTATGCTGTTAAGTAAATTCAATCAGATTAAGGTCTTATGAGGAGTGTTGTAATGTGTGTTAAATCCCGGAGTGTGTTAATTAATTAATGATGTAAGGAAGGGTCCACCTCCTTTTCACAATCAGCCTCGTCTCAGCCTCGAAGACCAGTGTTCAGTTTCAGACTCGTTATGTTGCAACTCAAGTCCTCATATAACAAGATCCACCAACTCCTAACAGACTATGACAACTCAGTGTGCACACACACACACACACACACACACACAGAGTATAGGCGGGTCCTATGCTGTTTAACCCTGAGCATATAATTCCACTTAATGTAACATTAGAGCGAAATACAACAATCCTGAGCTTAAATTTGGTGAATAAAATGTACTTTTAATATCATTGCGTCATCTCTAAGATGGACCATGTCTTATATAACAGTGCAACCAACATACCAGGATCAAATGCAAAAAGATCTTTTATTTTGTTACAGTATTTTACCCAGAAGATGGCGCTTGTGCTCCAGATAACAACGCTAATTACAAAGTGATGTAAATATGCTTCAGCTTTTACTGCGACAAACTCTTTCAGCACAAACACGAAAAAAAAACTTTATATTTTGGCTCAACAAAAATATGCTTGATGGATGAAATTTTTCGTAAACAGCCTAGCTAGTGAGAAAAAACGATGCGTCTGCATGAACACGGCACATTTTCTTTTAGTTTAAGGTCAATTTACTGACAGAAAAAAAGTTAAAGATAGAAGAGCATTTCCACTACAGGGCTGTATTATTAATATTCAGGGAAATCTTTTTTTATTTGAAGCGTTTTGGGAACAAAAACAGATTCTCATTTTACACGGCAAATTTGACACCATTTATTCAGATTGGTGCGACATTCAGAGGGAAACGTAAATATTGACACAGGCAGAGAAAAGAAGGAAAAGAGCTGCATCACTTCTACACTGAGTCCTCTGTCATCTTCAAGCACACACACAGACACAGACACACACAGACACACACCATCCCACTCACGCAGAGCCAAGCCCATCATAATGGTTTCTTTGTAGAACTCAGTCTGTGTGGACACAACACTTCCTGTTAAACCGCTGTCTCTGTGTCCCACACACACACACACACACACACAAACCATGCACACACACATTACAGGATCTCAGATTATTTCAGATTCCAAGAAGAATTTACTGGAACATTTTAGTGAATCTGAAACAAGCTTGTTTAATCTAAATGCTTCTTTTCATAGTTCCTCCTTAGTGAGAAAGCTAATTGGTCTCTCCTGTCCTGTGATCATATTGTGTTTGCTTTGATGGTGTAAATGCTCTCGAGTCTGCGTGTCAATCTAGAAAAGCAATCATGTCCTGCGTGTTTGAGAAAATACAAAAAATAATCCTTTATTAATCCCACAGAGAGGACATTTAGAGCAGCAGAAAAACATCAAAAAAAGAAAGAAAAAGAAAGAAAATAACTGGAAATCAGAAAGTTAAGAGCGCAGTCGTAACAGCCAGAAGCTCTGCGCTGATGTGATGATCAGATAACATGTAAATCTAATTTCTGTCCCATAAGTAAGTCAGTGTTTTTCTGTCGTAGCAACGCTTTTCACTGATGAAGAAGATCAAGAGTGAAGCTTTTTCACCAACAACTCTTTTTCATTAGTACTATCGCTTTAAAAATTTAAACTTCAGAGGAAAATTAAATATTCAAACTGTTATGAGTCAATAAAATTCAAGATAACAAGCTGATGTCTTCAGCTGTTTGCTGGTTTGATCCAGCAGAGGGTTCATTCATCGTAACCTGACCATTGAAAAGCACTCTTGACCTAAATACAGTAATCATTTTAAAGAGACTGAAGGACGAGTTCTGCAACCAAAGCCGACCTGAGTGGACCATCACGACACCAACACATTTGAGAAGCTCCTGGTGGAAGTATTTTCGGTTCTATACCATGGATGATATCTTAAGCCCTGCTGTCATTACCTTGTTAGCGCTTGTGCACACCTGTCGTCCCTCATTCTGTCCCTTGGCTTTTCAGACATACACCTACACACACCTGCATCCTCCTCCTCCTCCTCTCTCTCCACCTGTGTCTGCCTGATGTGGGTTTTCTACATTAAAAGGTGAAAAATACCAGCTGATCACTAATGTGACCAAACATTTATTTGGAGATATCTACATAAACTATTGAAGGTAAACTGGAGTTTCAAACTTCTTATCCAGACTGATTAAAACAACTCTTCATGGCGGTGACAGAAGAGAGTGACAGAGCAGCTTTACAGAGAACAGTCTGAATTGTGTGACTTCACACTGACTCAGTTCATGGTATTTGAATCAGAATCACAGAGCTGCACGAAGAGGAAACAGGAAGGCTGGTACACACATGCGCAAGCACACACACACACACACACACACACACACACACACACACACAAACAGGCTGCGGAGCTGAGTCACATCTCAGTTACGTAAAATAAAAAAATTAAACAATCGCAGTGAAAGATGAGGAGTGCATGTTCGTCCAACAGCCATGGCACGAACAAGAAGTGATGTCAGAGTGAAACCTGGACTGGCATGGACTGTACTCACTTTGAAGTGTGGTTTAAAACAAACACTCACTCCCTTCCTCCCTGATTCCCTCCCTCTCTGTGTTTAAGCAGCAGCAGTTTTCCCTCTTCTCCTCCTCCTTTGTTAATCCCACCTGCACTCACACTTCCTCCATCTATCTCCTCCTCCATCCCTCCATTTATAACCGGTCTTCTCCTCACCGTCCCCTATTCGTCCTTCGCCCTCGATCTCCCTCTCCTCTTTATTTCCCTCTCCTCCTCTAAACAAAACATCAATTACTGGCGGCAGGAACACGAGCAGAAACGTGGCAGAAAGTGGGTAAACACACACACACTCTCAGGTATGAGGTGTGGGTTAAACGTTTAAGGTGTGGTGAGGTGTGTTTGGTTTATTTGCCCTCTCCTCCCTGTTGCTGAGCTCAGAGAAAAGTAAAGTCTGAACCGCAGCTAAAAGAGGTGTTTCGAACCTGAGGATTTTCATGTGTGTTAAATCCGTGTGATTTAAACGCTTGTGCATGTTTTTGTTTTAAATTAGATCAACCAGCTCTGTTTGTTTGGAGATATTATGGATATTACAGAATATATAATAAAGGCCTATTACGCTTCTTTTTACCTTTCATAATGACGGTCAGGAACACCTCTTTGGTAGCTCTGGATGATTTTCAGCTCAAAAGCTCCTCATTTACTCCATTTCTGCAGCGTTTCCACTCACATGAAGTTAGACACAGTTTGGGTGTGTTACTTTTTACACAGCTGTGCAGTCGCAGAATGAGCTGAAAGTTTGGCCTTAGTTACACTTACATTAGCTGTTAGCAGCCACTCAGCTCCCTTTTAAGCCTCAGTCACATTAGTCATTGTTCACAGCTACTGTTATAAAGAAACATGAAGCTTGTAAAGTAACGTGAGCTGTGACTTTAAGCTTATGGGGGGTGGTCTTCAGCATCACTCTTAAAGGACACCACGACCACGCCAGGACTGTTTAAGTGGAGCTACTCCTAAGAGGCAAAAATAATCATCTATGCAGGAACTAGTTTCATGTTAGCCGGTGTTTTAAGAAAAAGAACCTCATCAGAGTGGGACTAAAACCAGAACTAAGACCGAGCCATGCCCTGATTATGAAGGTTTAGGTATCACACTTACCCTTTAAATCATCTAAATTTATAAGTAAATAAAAAACCCTAAGCCACACTGCAGGCAGGTGTTCTGAACCAAACTGTTAACATGCTGAAGTTGATGCAAAATGGACATTTGAACATGGGGAGTCCTCAGTTTTAGCAGAAAGCATCCAGTCCGAGAAAATGAAGCTTCAACTGCAGCATGGTCACTCACCATACATCAAATATGTCAGATCCATATATTTTAGACTTAGGATTCACACGGGTTCACTGTATTAGACGTCAAACTAGAGGCAGGAATCAAGAGGTAATCACAGCGTGGATGTTTGCAGAGGGTCCTGTGGGTGCTGATTTATTTCAGATGGTTTTAATATCAAGATTTGACTCTACACTTTACATCTGAATCAGCACATGAGGAGCAAGACCTAGCATGAACATTGCATAACTGTTTGTGTCTTTTGTTAGGTCTGCTTTATTTCTAATCTTAGTCGATGCAGGCATGCTTGTGCGGAAATAAAACACACTGTTTACTTTCTGTGAGTCACAGTGGAAGCATTTTTACACCTGATGAAACCGAACTGCCACGATGATAGAAAAATACCTCCTGCAGTTGTGAAAATCACATTTGTACTATAATCTCAGAGGTGCACCACGTAACAAATGGTGTTTAAAAACTGCACAGATGATGATGTGCAGGAAAGTGCTGTATATTATCTAATACAGGCTCTGGGGTTCCAGCTACAGAAATAAAATGAGAATCCCAGCACACTGCCCAACCCTGTTAATGCCATAAATATTCATTTAGCAACACATGAATTACAACAGCCTGTCAGCGTGTGTGTCTGTGTCTGTGTTGTATCCAGGTGCTAGCCACTCTGGGCGTCTGCTGCTGCTGCGTTTGTGTTCAGACATGTCTAATAGAGCTCAGAGTGGAGCGAGGATGACTTTAGAGAAAAAATGTGACCTGACAAGACGAGACAGACTCGCTGCAGGAATCAGTTTGTATTTATTCTCACATTTGGAGGTTATCTTCAGTCAAGTCACCGCTCAGAGGAGGCAAAGGGATTTTACTGCAAACTGCAACTCTAGCCTGCAGCTGGGGGTGTGATCCTGGTCACAACGAGGCTGCAAGCCGAGACTTTGGTCATTGTTTATCAGAGTGCAACATTTGCAGAGACGGCAAATAAAAAATCTGGGGACTGTGTGAAATAAAAACGGAAAAAAGTCGACTATGATATTAACAAATAAGAGTGAAAACAGTCTCAAACAGTCTTCAACAAGTAGAAAAGGGTGGTAGAAGTATAAAGTAGCATGCAAAATTAAGATGACCCTGATAAGAAATGTAAACTAGAGTCAGTCATAAACGGTCAGTGATGATGAGGAGAAGAGGAGAGACGAAGAAGCTGCTGAGGTCTGTTTTAACTTCCCTCCAGTTTCCAAAGACACAGGGACAGAAGTGTTCGCCCTCCTCTGAAACACAGATTTTTCCGCTTCTCTCTCCTCCTCTCAGCTCATAATGTGGCCTTTCAGCACCGTCTGCGACTGCATGTGCGTGTGTGTGTGTGTGTGTGTGTGAGAATATTGAGTGTGTGTGAATATTAACGCCTGCTGATGTCTGTGCTCTCACGTTGTTGCATAGACTCCTCTGAATGTTCTCTCTGTAAATGCGAGTGTGACAAACTTCTGTCTCACAGTCTGGACAGAAAAACATCCTGTTTGCTCCAACTTTGGGAATGTGAATCCAGAGAAATGAGAGATCAGCTTGGTGTGCAGGTTTCATTTAAAGTGACAGGGATTATTGACTAAATATTTGATTAACACTGGGCTGTTAGATCTTCTAGTCAAATCACGATTTTGAAGTTTTGGACAGAAGTTAGTCTGTACGGTTCATTCTTAGATTTATGAAAAAAAAAACACCAGGAGAGCAAACTTTACCTCTTAGCATGTTGGATTCGAACGTATCATCTGCCTTTTTTGTGAACTATGGCGCTGAAGTGATAGGTCTGGGTTCAGATTTCTTCAATGAGTGAAATCCTGACATTATTCTGCTGTTTAAATGTATATTTTTGCACCATGTAGATGTTGTTGAAGCTCTTTTCTTCATGCACTGTCACTGCTAACTCCTCTCTCCTCTCCTCGTTCAAACACGATCACTTCTAGCTCTGAAAACCAACATCGTCTTAAACCGACGGCTGACACAAAGGTCACTAAGTTCATCATTTTTTACTCCAAATGTCTCGGTCCTGATCTCAGCTGTAAAATCAGAGCTAATCTGAGCTCTTTAACAGACTGAGTGATGATCAACCATTTAAGCCAAAAATCAGACTGAGATTTGGGGTCAGAACAACTGACTGGAGCGTCTTGAATTTTCACAGTAAACAGTTCTCAATTAAATGCATGAATGTCCTTTTTTTTTACCACTAATCACTGATGAATCATCCCCAAACTGCAGCAGAAACAGCCCTCTTCTTGCTCGCTCATCCTCTCTCTCTCTCTCTCTCTCTTTATTGATCCAGTTATTGATTAACTGACCAGTCGACCAGTCAGTCAGTCGCCTCACCAATCCGAAAGACGCACACAAAGCTGACCTCAGGAAACCTCGATAGAGCTCGTCAGCACGCTGTAGGGGGTCTTGTGATCAGTGTGTGTGTGTATGAGTATGTGTTTATTTGTGTGTGTGTGTGTGTGTGTGTGCGCTGAAAACCTCATGATGCCAAAGACGTCAACTGTTCCTCTGTTGTTGCTGTGGAAACGTGTCATGTGGAACCACCAGGGAAGGGACGGGAGGAAGCTGCTTTTAAAATCAGCTGATTGTGACAGTTTTTCTGCGGAGTTTTATTTCTGATCATGATCTCATCATCGCTTCTGAACATCCTCCAAACATGTGTCTGTGAATATTCTTCCTCTAGCTTTTAAAACATCAGCGGCTGAAGAAAAACATCCTCAGCTTGAACAGTTGAACAATAACCTCTGCTCCCATCAGGCGCACAAAGATTATTTTATCCTTAAACTGATTCAAAACAAATATATTACTTTAAAAAGAAAGTTTCACTTCCTTTAAATAAGACACCTGTGTGTGTGTGTGTGTGTGTGTGTGTGTGTGTGTGTGTGTGTGTGTGTGTGTGTGTGTGTGTGTGTGTGTGTGTGTGAGAGTGTGTGTTTGTCCGTCACTGTCCTGACAAACAGTCTTTGACACACTCAGAGTTTTCCTCTACCAGGGAAAGATGAGAGCATGGGCATTACCGTGACGACCAACAACAAACCCAACAGACCGGTTAAGAAACACTCACTCACACACACACACACACATACAAGTGTGTGAGCGAGAGCAGCTGAAATGCAGAAAAAAATTAAGTGTTTTTAAATGATGACATGACCTGTCAGCAGGAGAGAGAAAGAGAGAGAGAGAGGGAGAGAGGGAGAGAGGGAGAGCTAAAGTGTGAGAGAGCGAGAGAGTAAAATCAGCTGTTCCACTCGTCTCTGTGTCTCTTACACACTCAGCAGCTGACAGGCTGAAGGAGCTGACAATAAGAGAGCAGAGGAGGAGAGTTGAAGTGCTCTTCAGACTGAAGATATGAGCACAAAATTCCAACACACCGCTTAGTCAGCAGGTTGAACACTAACGGAATACAACGAGCGCTAATTTGGTGAGATAATTGACGGGAGTGAAAAAAGGAGATTTAAAGCAGAGGGTTCCTTTAAATACGAACTGGACAGCAGCTGATAAATGTCACTCAAACTGCAGCAGGAAACACTCACCATCAGTGTGAGCCCCTGTCCCCCTCGTCTGGCATTCTGAGTGCAGACCCTAGCGGTCGAGCGACAGATTAAAATATGTGCTCTCTCTCTTTTATTTTTTCTGTTGTCACTTTTCATCCATAGGAGGAGATGCAGCTGTTAACACACACACACAGCACACACACACACACACACACACATATACACATACACACACACATACACACACAGAGCAGAGAGGAATGTTTTTGGTCAACATGGAGTCTGTAAAAGATCGTGTTGGCTTTTCTCTGAGCTAACCGCTAACAGATGGCAGCAGCTTGTGTTGGCTGCAGGGTCACGTGAGGTCAAACCAGATGTGAGCCAACAAAACAGTACCTGTTCTCAGGGAGAGGAGGATTTCACACTCGTCTGTGTGTGTGGATTCTTTTCAGATGAGGGGACTGAGGATGAGAAGACTGAAGGATATGAGAACGCTGCAGACTGATCCCAGTTTATCTACTTTATTTAAACTAGTTTCGACCTGAGACTCTAGATGGTTTTAGATCTATGACAATAATGATGGTGCTCTCACAGACTTGAGTATCCTGTTTTTTTAAAGTCTCCCATTTTAGTGTCTGTGCATGTAAAACATCAAATCCTGATTTCAGGAACCAGAGTGAGCCCTTATCCTTGTTTGGAGAAACTTGATTTTGCAGCTCCAGAGGAAGAAAACATGATACTGTGGCATGAGGACATCTTAGCCCAGTTCTAACAGCTGCTGGATCTCCGGACCAGCACCTCCTTAGCCAAGTGATGTATCAGTGAAGGAAACATGGCAGGAGCAGCAAAAGCATCTTTCTGCCAGAGTGGTGAAGAAACAGGTTTGTTTTTTGTTTTTTGATATGAAAGAATTAGAGAAGAAGCTTAAACCGGAGAAACATCAATATTTCCAACAAGCCGCTGCAGTTTGTGTTGTATAGAAATAAAGGTCACAGGTGTAAATAAGACGCAGTGATCAGAAACCAGGGTACAAGTATTTGTCATGTAGACAGGGATCTTTATCTTGACACCGTATGTGATGTAAAGGACCAGTACACCCAAAATTAACTCCACTATCAAGCAAGGCAGTTGATGTGAGGGTGATTCAGGGTAACAGTAACACAGCACTGTAGCAGCAGCAGACGGTATCTACACTCCACACATGGATAATGCTCTAAAAACCAACTCAATGAGCTGTTACAGTCCTGGAAGATCTGGATCACTAAAAAAAAGCCAGAATTCTCATCCCTGAGATCTTCTACACTGAAGGTGTTTCCCTAAGAAAGAAGAGGAATCAAAACCTGCTCCGACATGGTGAGACGGATCAAAGTCAACCTGAGCAAGGTCAGACAGCCTTTGTGGACTTGAGGTAACCTTTGGGTCTTCATGGATATATAGTGATGGACTGAAGGGACCCTCTCTAATGCAGCAGAAGCAGCGTTGACCATCATACTTCCAACTGATTTTAAATAATGAGTGTGGCCAACCCAAAAGCATCTCCTGCTTCATGTTGTCTCATGATCAAAATGATCCCGCAGTATTTGAGACAACAGGAAACGAGAGCTTTAATGCGTGTCTGTTTTCGAGTCACATAGGAAGAAAACCTCGTGCTGTGAGAACTGACTGTGTTTTCAGCTGCTGTATGTTGTGCAAACGCTCTCCTGCAGCTGCTGAACCTCACTGTCCTATCATGTGAGGTGCATGACGGTACCTGATGATAACATGACCGTTTGCATGTGCTCCATGTGAGGTCATGTGCTGCACTAAGTTGATTATTGAACACACGCCATCTGTGCCCGTATTTGTTTATCTGCAGCTCTGTCTGTGATTCCAGAGGTGCAGTCTGAACCTGCTCGGCTACAAAAATAATTCATTCCACATTATGAGTTTTATTTCTCCAAGTGTGTGTGCTGCCTCTTTTCTGATCAACAAACATGAACACTTAGACATGATGGAGCAGGTCTGCAGAGACTTCCACAGAGGGGAGCGGCCATGATTCACCTCCCACACGCACACACCCACACATGCTACTGGATTTCCTCAAAATACCAACTGACTGCCGAGTTACATAATCATCGCAGCAGCTGACTGACTTAACAGAGATCGAATCCACAGACAGTGCAGCTCTAAAAACACGGTAGTCCCTGTCCACGTCCTCCACGTACTAACAGAGCCTGCAGTCTGACTCATCAGAGAGGAGAGCTTCAGTTAGTGTTTGAAGTGGAGCTGAAATAAAAATACTGAAGAGTGCTGTGTTAGTTTAGAGTAAACATACGCTGCTCGGCGGGGGAGAAGTTGATTGGTCGTCAGAGAGTCCTCGAATCAACTCGCCTGACACCTTAGGGGACTGAAGCCGAATATGCAGGAGCACAGCCAGAACATACAGCCCAACATCAGAGTTGGACCTCAGCGATGCTATTGAGGCTGAGCAGGAATGAATCCCTGCAGCACGGCTCCAAACTGAAGTAAAAAGACACCAGAGAGAGACCTAGACTCTTACAGCAGATTGTACTTTGAAAGAGGAACTACACGGATCAGGTCTGTGTGCTTGGCAGTGTAAAATCTCTCTCTGAGGTTTGGATTGATGCTCTGTCTGAAGTTAGATCCAGCATTACATGGACGTTTCTTCAACTCTGCAGTGATTTAGTACTGAGACGCAGAAACATTTTGAATAGAAAACAGTAACTTATTGTCTGTATTATGTACTCAGACAGTTTGGAGTTGCTGTTGAGGAACACATTCCTGCACAGGTACATGATATTCAGCAGCAATGCTTCATTACATATTTACACCCCAAATGACTGGCCTTACATGCAGCTTTTCAGTTAGTTTTGCAGATCCTTGTGTGTTAGCAGATATATTGTGTTCTTTAATGATCTTAGCTACACAAGGCCTGTAAGAGAACATGCTGTAAGAGACGAAAATACCTGGATTTGCTGTATCAGTTTTGTCATAGACTGAATAAAAAGATGGATGACATGACAGTGTCGTAAAAGTGAAGCTAAAACATGAAAAGCTGCAGTACAAGTTAGCAGTGTGTGTTTTGGAGAGCTGAAGAACCAAGGCATGAGTACTGTGGATTAGTACTGCACAAACTTCTAATCCCCAGTTTCCACCGCATCTGGAACGACTCGGCTACAGTATGGCGGCGATTTTTTGCCGTCTGCCAATTCCAACAGAAAGCTATTGTGAGGCGAATTTTGTGGAAGATCATGGACAGCAGGAATTGCGTGAACTCACAAGAACCCGTGGATTCACATGCAATCACGTTTGATGAGTGGTCTCTATAAAGACAGTAGATTCTGTCCTTCCAGAGGAGGAAATCCACTTCTAGAATCAGCATCTCCTCATCTATGGTGTCAACGGGGTGAAATGCTGTCTGAAAACCTTTGACTTGTTCTTCCCGCCCACATTTGCATGGTGTGAAATATGATCCACCATGATTTTCTAAAGAAGCCGCATGTTTTATTTTGTATCTGTGCCCGACTTCCTTTCCAGGACAAGTTAATCTGTGCTGTGCTCTGCGGTGGTAAGTGACACATTAACTTGAATAGAAATGATCAGCTGCGATTGGCGCTGACAGCCTTTTCGACGCCGTTCCGTATGCGGTGGAAATTGGGGGTAATGCAGAATACGCCTGTACATGTGCATGGGAATATTTTGGCTTCGTTTTAGTACAACAGGAGGCAGTAGAGATGCACAGTCCATTCTTATGACATTAAAAAACCTGGACTAATATTTATTTTTATTTCTGGACTGAAACTGTTTGAAAAGGTCAAAGGTCACTCAGTCAAGCGCCTCTTTCATGTCCATGTATTACTGACTAACATACCTACTGCTGTATTTTCTGTCGTCACACTCAAGTTTATTTATAAACTCTACAAACAGATGAGGTGATATATGTACGCAAACATGGGTTTGGCACACACACACACACACACACACACACACACACACACACACACACACACACACACACACACACACACACACACACACAGGTCTGTGCCTCTCTTGAAAAACTCAGACCCCCTCCCCCGTCCACTGTGAAGTGTGCATGTGTGAACGTGAGAAACTCGATCTGACTTTAAACAGGACAGCTGCACATGAGGTCTCACTGTGTCACTTCAGAAAGAGAGAGAGAGAGAGAGAGAGAGAGAGAGAGAGAAGAAGAAGAAGCAAGCGAGACCCAAAGACAGAAAACATTTGAACATTCCTGACCCAAAAACAGACTCAGTATCATGAAAGCGAGGCGAGGGTATTTTTCAGGCCTATTTCATCCTTTAGCAGCTCAATCCTGAATAAATTCTACATTATACAATATTACACTCACGCACATTCACACACACACACATACACATCCAGAACACACACAGCCTGATGTAGAGGAGCTGAATGGAGATAATTAGCTCCCTCATGATTTCACTGTTTATAATGTTAAAAAGACACAGAAACAGAACAGAGCTGTAAGACGGAGGGAAAGAACAGACAGATCGAGGAGGAGAACATCTCCCTCAGCTCTCCTACATGATGTCAAACACAAAGAAACACACACTGACACGCACAGCAACAACCACACACAATTTATTTCATCGTATTTTTCCTCTCGGAGCCTCTGGACTGAAATAAACCTAAATCTAGCTGTGTGTGTCTCCATCCCACCGAATGCAGCAGTGTTTTTTAATGTGTTTAAATAAGTGTGTTTGTTTACCTCTGGTCCCAGTCGCCATGTCTGCCACCTTCTGAAAAGCATCCAGGAAGGCTCCGGTCACCATGATGGTCGTCCTGAATCAAAGACAAACACGACACAAACATCAACTCAATTACTGTGGAAGTGTGTTTGAAGTCATGGAGTTACACATGCAGACAAATAAAGACGCAGATTGCTGTGGTGCTAAAAGGATGATGAAGTTCTCTGATGAAGACGACACTTCAGGTTTGGATAAAGAAAATGTGCGGACTCAGAAAACAAACACATTTATATACAAAACTTCCTCTTTTAGACCTACAAAATACAAGAAAATCTGCAGTGACCTTGTTCAGCATCAATGTGAAGAGTGATAAAGAAAGAGAAGTTAAAGCTCCTGTGGAGAATTTTTCTTTTTGAGCTGCAAAACATACAAGACCGTCATTTCTATTTTTTTAACGTCTGGAGCTGCTTCATGAGGCCAGGTATCAGGATGCAAGAGGAGCAGTTTGACACTTTGGTCAGGAGAAAAATAGAAAGGAATATATGTATTTGACTGTTAAAGAAGCAGGATGTCATCTTTAACATGTTAAAGGTGAGATCAGTAAAGACAGAGGAGGAACTGTTGAGTGGAGAAACCAAAATCAGCAGGAACCAGATTTAAAAAAGTGCTCTGAAAACCTGTCCAACATGATTTAGTGAAAAATAATCAAGATAATGAGACATTTGTTTATGTCTGCGACGACAATCTGAACACAAGAACCATCTTCTTTAATATGACACCCTGCAGCTCTCAATTGACCGTGCGGTGCGTGTATCAGTCGTGTTGTAATGGCACTTGTGTTTATTTCTACACGAGCCACATCAGTTATAATGAACTCAAATCAAATCAACTCAATCGAGTTTTCAGACTCCACTCTGTGAGTCACGGACTGAGCCGGTCCGTCTGAACCAAAACAAGCAAAACCTAAAAAAAAAACAAAAAACAGACAAACACGCTGCAGACGACAAATCACAGACAAACCCACTATTCAGTGTTTTCAACAGGAGACCGCCGAGAAGACGGTCGTTTAAAAAGACAGGAGAGCAACTGGAGACCTGACACACATACACACACACACATCATCAACATCAATGGACCTATTGTCTTTGTGTGTGTCCTATTATCAGACACACACACACACACACACACACACACTCATTAGCCCTGGAAACGACAGAGATCAGATGACACTGCTGTCAATAGTCCGTGTGTGTCTGTGTCAATATGAAAGAGAATTTCCACTGAGGTCAAACACACACACACACACACACACACACACACACACACACACGCACAAATCCAAAAACACAACATCTTAATAAAGGCAGAATGAGTTTTCAAACTCAGGTGAGAAAAACAATCTTAAGTCTGGGTGGTGTGACTTTGATGAAACACAGAGTAAAAATCCCTGAACCCTAAAAGTCGGATAAAAAAACCCCACTGTGGAAATCAGGGTGCACAGATATGTTCACAGTCTGAACACTAAGGACCCACAGTCCTTGACTGGACTCTAAAAACCCCAGAGAGGCCTGACAGAAGCTCTCGGCATGTCTTTGTTCAGCTGACACTCACTGCTCTCGGGTTCAGGTAGGTTTCATATGAAACCCCACAAAGGAGGGTCAGAGCAAAAACTGATCAGTCCTGCAAAAACCCTTTTAAGGTATCTGAAATTAGTTGCTGAGTCAGATTAACAAGGCCATAAAATATCACCATGACGATATCATCAAACTAGAAAATATCCCATTACAATATAAAGCTAGCTCACTAGCAGTCTGCTACTTCTTCTTCATCTATCTTCTGTTTTCAGCCATGACCGACAACCAGCATCAAGCTCCACATGTATGCTGTCATGTCTTCTTAATAAGACGTTGATTATCAATGGCAGCAGGCACGTCAGAAACAAGAGTAGTCCTTTTGAATGCAGGGCTCGACGGTGCGACCGTTTCACTCACATTTGTGACTAAAAATAGATGTGTGCGAATTGTAAAAGGTATTTAGGGGCAAATGTGCCATAAAAAAAAAATCAGCTGAGGCAACAAATGTTAATTTATGTAAATACCGTGGTGAAGTTAGTTTTAGGTTGGATATCTGGCGGACATTCTCGGTGGATCTACCGATGTCTCTCGATAACTGGGAATAGCTACAGCAGCGCGGTTGAATCTCTTCGGCACCCTCGCTGTTAACGTCGGGTGTTGAATAAGGGACCATCACTAAATTACCAGTTGGTGTTCTAAAGAAGGCTGTTTCCCTTCAATAGCTTCCATGTCATGTGACCAATTGACCTACAATTGATTTCAAATAATAGTACTAAGGTCAGACGATAAGACACACCTCTTTATTTCACCATTTTGTCCTCTGAAAATGTTTGTTAAATTTAAAGGCACATTTTGAACATTTTTTTAATAGCTTCCATTGTATGTGACCAATTGACCGAAAATTGATTTCAAATAATAGTACTAAGGTCGACCAATAAGACACATTATTTGATCTATTTTCATTGTGCCCCTCAAGTTCTTTGTATGCTCCTTAATTTTTCAACTTAAGAGCAGCATGTGAGCATCTCCTTATGAAAAAAGTTAGTGTCAAGCCCTGGAATGTAAAGTCAGAGTCCAGAAGTTTAAGAACATGCATTTGTTCTTTTATTTTAAGCTAAAACACAAGCTAACATGCCCAGTTCACAGGTGTTACCTAATTAATTTCACCTAAATAACCTCAAATCAACAAAAACCTCTTTTTGCACCTCACACCAAAGCCACTGTGTGTAGCTGATAGAAAATCTTGCAGGAGCATGGTGCTGCAGAGATGCAAAGCCTTCTCTTTGTCTGATACACTGCTGTTATTTTATCAGTAAATATATGCTGTAGCATCTTTTATTAACTGTATAAACTCATGATTTATTGAGTCTGTCTGCAGGATACACACACACCACCCCAACAGGTGCATAAGAGAAGCACCACAACTCTTTTTATTCCTCATATAGAAAGCTTGCACGGATCCGTTCACGTGCTCGTTGGTCTTTAAATAAATTGCGGTCGGACACATTCGTGGAACTCTTCTATCTACAGCTGCACATTTTGTGACTGCCAAAGATAAAGCCGGTCTGAAGTCCATAACTGATCAATGAAGCTGGATTTTCCTGCTTTTCTGTGAGTGCAGTATGGAGATAGTGTGATGCACAGAAATGATGCACCAAAGCTGCGCTATTACACAGTAAAAGACACGTCTCCTCATCTCGCCACTCTCAGGACCAGGGCTGCTTCCTGCAAGCTCCTCCCACTGCACTTTAGACCGTGAGCTATTGATCCTTTAAAACAGGCGGTTATTTATTAATGATGGTTTAATTTTAGCTTCAAGTGGAGGCTGGGCTTTACTTGCTGCAGAGTTTCCTGGACATACAATTCATTTAAAATGATACTTGACCAGCAGCCGTTCAGTCACACAAATATTAATAGATTTTTTTTTTTATTCAAATCTCTCGTTACATATCTGACTTTATGTTCTGTATCTTACAAGGATCCTGTATCCTTGTAAGATATGTAGTAGGTCCTGTCAGCTTGAAGATTTATCGACATGGTAAACTCAATAAAATACTTCCCTGTTCCGCCGTAGGTCAAAGTAGCTCCTCGGTGAGTGATGAAAAACTCCATCGAACTGTTTAGTTTTTTTGTAAATTTTGGATGTAACGGCACAGGGAGGTTTGTACTAAAGTCTAGAAACTTATGGTTGATAAATCTGAACTGAATCTGTACTCGAAACACACCGGCGGATTCCAATAAACAAACAAAACTGCAGAGCTAACAGTCTGAGTTGTTTGCTAATTATCCACATCAGATCTTATGGGCTGCATTAAACAGTGTAGATGCCCCACTTGTGCTTGTGTATTACTATGAGTGTGTGTGTCTGTGTGTGTGTGTGGGTGAAGCTGGCTGACTGGCAGGGATAATGAGCTGTGACTGGCTGCAGCAGGCAGAATGATGCTTATCAAAGTAAACTGGTCCACAGGGAGACAAAGCCATTACACTGTTATTATACAGAGCAAGCTGCAGGGTTCGAGTGTGTGTCTGTGTGTGTTTGAAAGAGACAGAATCAGAGTCGGGGTACATGCGGCATTCCTGTAAAGTTTTAAAGGTTTTTGTCGCTGTCATGTCCAACTGTGAGGGTGCGGAGGGAGCGGGGGAACATCAGAGTTTAAGCACCAAAAATAAACTTTATGACAAGCATGCAGCGATACACTAAAAGCAAACTAAGACTGCAAAAACAGACCACAGATCATGGTAAAATCCAGGGCTTCAGGACTTACTGATGGACTATAATGCTTGTAGCTCAGTTTCATTATGATAGGAAACTCTTCTGATGGTGCAGAGGTGAAATTTTGGTGCATTTTGCAGCTTTTGGAAGAGGCAGCTTCCACACATACAGGGGGATGCTCTATGTAGTGCAAGCTTATTTAAAGGAATTGAGTTTTTGGATGTGGTGATTTATGACCAGAAAGGGAAGAAGATAACAGTCAGCGTGGTCTTTGTTTTGAGAAGCTGACTGGAGGACCACCAACACAGCTCTGTTCTGCTGCAGAGAGGGTCCGAGGACTTGAAACGGTCCTAAAAGAATGTTCCGGTTTTCAGCGTGTTACTGTTTTCTGGAGCATTTTCACTGCTTGACGTCAGGCAGCCTTTCCCACTGGGACTGTTTAAACTACACAACAGTACTGTATTCATACCTGTGCTGTGTAATGTATTTGTTTCCATTAGAGAAATCAGTGCAGGGGCCAAATAAACCTCAGCATATTAAAATGTTTTTACATCAACCCTGATGATGTTTTTATCGCTCTGACAGCATGTTACCAACACTGAAGTCGTCATCATTTTAAAGGAGACCTAATACAGTGATCTGTGCTCTAGTACATGCATATAATAATAAAAGCTAAAGCTGTTTGTCTATAAAAGACCTTCATGAAGCTCAGAAACAGCAGCTTTAAGAACTACAGAGATCATGGGCTGACACGGTTAAATCGGGAGTTTAGAGGGTGCACCTGAGATGTTTTCATGTAGGGCTGTAAAGTTTTGGTCGACTAGTTGACTTATTGGTCGATAGGTGCTGAATCGATCAAAATTCTAATCAGTCGACTCGATTTTTTTCTGCGTCAATTTACAGTCTATGATTTATTTCATCAGAAGGAACATACCACGTGCTAATGGGGGAGTTTTCAGGGCACCCTCGTTTCACAGGTAACAGCTTGTCTCAGAACACCCCCCTTGTTTTCACCATTTTGGATTCACTCAACCCACTGGAGACCAGCTGGAAACAGGGAGATTAAAGAGCGTCCACATTAATCAATGTTCAGAATTTTGCTACATACATTATTTGTGTTTAATTGCCTTCTTGTGTTGATATCAGTCGATTTTTGGTTGAAAATTTCAGGGTTTTAGTTCATGAAGAATTTATTTGGTTGATTCCAGCCCTAGTTTCATGACTGCAGAGCTGTGTAAAAAGTAACACCCACCGGCTGTGTGAAAACAGCCTTAATGAGGAGTTCAGGGGCTGAACGGCACCACATTAAAGGTTTTAACACTCTCTGTTTACATGCACAGTAAAGCCCGACTCGGTTTATTTCTTGATTAGACAATTTAACTGGACTAAAATGTTTGCATGAGTTTTAAAAGTCCAGTTTCAGACAAATGCAAATGCTAATTTTCTGACCGACGTGAACATACTGATGGTGCAAGATAAATATGGACTTTTCTGAGCTTCAAATCATACAGAGCTTCTCCACAGGTGTCCCAGACTGACAGAGGAAAAGGTGAAAATGAGACTGAGAGTCGTCACTTAGTAACAGTGGAAATTTAAACACTTAACTCAACTTAGCAGGTAACCACACCTCAAACGATGCCATTTAAACTGAAGTCTGACATGCAGTCAGGTGACAGCTTTATTCTGGGCTGGTTGCTCTACAGGTGAAACTGCATCACTTATCAAATTGGCTTTACTCAGGTATATTCTCATTACAGTTCTAGTAAGCAGGAGCAGCCAGGAGTTGTATGACCCGTTGGTCAAAGCGGGAAACCTATTTACTCATTAGACTGAACACGTGCATGTGTGTGTGTGTTTGGAGTGTGTGTTTTACCTGAGCTGTGACTGTAGCTTGGCCCCTTTGGTCACAAAGTCCTCCCATGTAGGATAGCTGGCCTGCAGCAAACACAGAGAACAGTAGTGACGTTAAACTCATATAAAAAATACAGATCCCCTGAGTTTTACTGAGGCGTTAAACCCAGAACTAAAACAAAACACATCTCGTGCCAATAATCCTAAAGAGCTTATGACCTTAATGAGGGAGACGGAGCTATTACAGGAGCATTAGAGCTAAACCTGTCAGGTATTTCTCTGCACAGCGTGGGAATCTTTGGATACAGAGCAAACTCAACACATATGACACAGAAAAGGAAAGAAAGACAAAAAAAGGAGAAAATTTAAGACCATCAAGTTACCACATGAAGAGAAAAAGAGAGTGAAAACAAGAGGAAGTGAAAAAAAATTCACAAAGGAGAGGAAGTTATAAAAAGTTTAAAAATGTTTGACTGCCGTTTAATCCAGGAGGTGCTGAGAAATCAGTTCAGGCCAGATTACAGCCTAAACCTGGGGTCAAAGGTTAGTATTACCAGTCAACGCAGAAATGTCTTAGCTGTACGTGTGAACTTTGTGTTGTGATGAATGTCAGTGAAAGCAGGATTATGCTCCGAGTTTGAGATCTGGATTCCTCTGAACGACAGCAGCAGCAGAAGCAGCAGCAGCAGCTCTGAAACGTGTAACAGCAGCCGGCAGCGAGCTGAGGAGCTGCAGTTATTTTTGGCGTCTCTGGGTTTCACATGAGGACAGATGCTGTTTCTCTCAGGCTGAACATAAACATGCAAAAACAGAAGGAAACACCGGAAAAAAACAAGCAGGCTGACACGGCTGGTGTGCAGCTGTGAGAAATTCTTCATTAGGCTGCAGCTTTTCCTCTGAGCTCATCTCAGCGTTCAGCGGTGATTATACATTGAACCATGAATCCTGTTTAGAGAGAGTGTCACCTGTTTGAATACAACAATTTAATGCAGCTTCAAACTGGTCATAGTGAGAAATCATCGCTCCTTCACGTGTCTAAAGAGTAAAAGCTGCTTTTTTTTTCTCGTTTCATCGCACGGAGCAGCAACTTCTTCCTGTGTTTCAGGATGAGGTGTCCTGGTGGACTGTGTTTGCCTGATTTTGCTCTTACAGACTGTTTCTCCTCCATAAAAACTACAGGACTGGTTAATAATCTGAATCGAAACCTTCAGTCTCAGGGACAAATTCTGAACCTCATTCCTCAGATTCCTCTTCCTGGTCTAAGCTCCAAGGTCACCTAAGACTGGATCATTTTATTAGTCTGGAGGACTTTCAACCAGGATTAAGAATAATCTGAGCAGTGAATGCACACGTTTACTGCTGAAACCTGATCATTTATTGATCACTGTACTCGATTATGTGTTTGTCTGTTGTCTCTGGTGAGGTGCAGAGTGTGAATGTCAGCAGCAGAGGCAGTGTAGAGGCAGAGCAAATGTGAGGAAGTAAACAACAGCAGGGATCGGTCCAGAAAGGTCCATTTGGTCTGAACGTTGTGTACCAGCTGATTTTCACAGGTGATTTATGAATCAGACAACGTCACAGCAACATCACACAAGGAAGTTTGCAGCCGAAACACGTCAAGGTAAAAAAGAAACAAACTGGTCGAGAAGGAAGAAATATTAACAAACAGCAGCAGCAATTCAAACCATCAAAACATGCTCCCTTTTGTCTCTGTGAGATCCATCCAACAGTCTCACATTAAACCTACGAGTCCTCTGCTTCACTTTCACTGCCTTGATCTGAGCATCAACACATGCAGCCCGAGTTATACAGCTATAGCCTCTGGAGGTAAGACTGAATTTGTCCAACATTTCATAGAAAAAAAACAAGGAATCTGCACCGTCACTCTAATAAAAATCACTTTTGCTTTAAAAGGTGGGGTAGTCAGGATCTGAGGAAGTGCCAGTTTCTGGGAGAAATCTTGAATTTAAACACTACCCCTCCCAACCAGTTTTCCCCTCAGCTCCTCCTTTCCCCTCCATCCTTCCTCAAGCAAGCCCCGCCCACAAACGCACCTGCTCGCTCATATTGTTCCAATTAAACTGCAGATAAAAATATAATGCAGATAAATATTTCAGATAATTACAAATGGGGCCCAGTCAACGTGAAAGTCAAAAGCATTGGTGCTACTGTAGATGCCAACAGACTACCAGCAAACACAATGTTTGCAGGACTTCTACAACTAGGATAAAGTGACATACTCCAGGACCCGAGGTCAACAGTTTAGCGGTGATACAACAGGCAGCAGGTCCCGTTTGACAAGAAACACTTCTGTTACAGACACTTGTCTTACTTTGTTAAAGCGGTTTACCTGTCCAGCAGAAAGGTTACAGGGTCACCAAGATCCCCAAGCGTCCCCCATTGTTTATGCTTCATTGATGTTGACCCTGTTTTTAGCTCTTGTCCGCTCTACCTCCTTTGTAATTGACTCTGACGTTATTCCGTCAGAGTCTCCAGTATTTACTTCGTTTTCTTGCTTGTGTCGGCAGTCGTGGTCAAAGGAGGATTCAGACAATTTTCTGTACTTTCTAGTTGGTTTCTACTGTCCGATATTGTAGCTCGCTAACTTTGTTTGGGCTCGTGCATGTTATTCAGGGATGTGGGGCGTGCCTCAAGACACGAGGGAGCAGGGTCTTCCTCACAACCAATCAGCACTAAGGAGCATCGTCCGCCTCACAACCAATCAGGTCGGGGGAGGTGGAGAACGGCTTTGTTTACAGTCAGAAAGAGCGGGGCGCTCAGAAATGTTAAAATGTTGACTACACAGACAAAACAAAACAAAGTGATATCATTACATTCTTAAATGTCATCAATGACTAATACCTATTGACTGATATTAAAGGCTTTTTGTATAAAGACCACAAAATAAGATACTTCTTTAACGGATTCCTGTCTACCCCACTTTTATGTCTTTGCAAAAATTTCTCCAACAGCTCAGAATAATGGGAAAGCCGAGTTTTCTTTATTTGTCCTGCAGGATTCAAGAGCATCTCCTTGTTGTTGTTGAGGGGTAAAAGCTTCTCCTGCGCCTCCTCTGTCTGCAGCTGATTGATTATGTAATCTCAGGCTGATTCATGCTGCAGGCTCTGACCTCAGGTTACATCTGAGACAACAGCTGCTGCTTCGCTCTTCTGCTTATTCAATTAAAAAAGCAGGAAAGCCCTGCTGGACCGGAGGGCTCAGTCCAACTTTCTCCCTCTTTATTTTCTTGAACCCGCTCACCCGCCTGTCCTCTGTCTCTGCCGGTCCACTAAGGGGCAGATCATGCAGATTTAACCCCTAACACCGTGGCATTAGCCTCTTAGCTCAACACGGCTAAAGCCGTTAGCCCGGCCTCTGCTTCACAGCTAGCCGGGCGTGCACACAGCGTGGGGCTGACAGGTTTACTGGCTGCAGGGATTTAGCACTGCGTGATGAAATACTGCAGGTGACCGGCTGAATGCCTCCACTGAACAACAAACAGGGAGCCTGGGATAGACCGAGGGAGCTGAAATAGACCGCACTCTGATACCATTATTGATCCCTACAGGAAATCTGAGGTTGTGGTTTAAACAGAGAGTAAACTTGGTTCTCCAAAATGAAAAGGAGCTCTAAACTTGGCAGCATTTTTGGGACTGAAATCATCAAGTGGTTCAATAATCAGACATTAAGTGACAGTAAATTGGAGGCAGTGGGTCACATTACTGTCCTATCGTTTTGTGTGAGAGTGGAATCAAAAGCATTCATATTCTAATGTAATCTTCCCAAAAGCTCGTCTTATGCAAGAGGTTTTTACTCGTATTAATCTTCCAGAAAATCCCAGCGTTGAAAATGGTCTCCTGCATAAATCTGCCTGGACTTGTAGGGAATCAAATCTCTTGTTCCTCTCGTTCACCCAGACTGACATTCACCATGTTTCTGTAAATGCATGTCTCTCTCTCTCTCTCTCTCTCTCTCTGTTCTTACAGTTTCATGTTTGTATTTGGTTTCAGCCTGAACCGTTCAGGAGTCAGGAGAGCACGTTTCAGCTCAATAACCTTGTGCTGGTTCAGGGCAGCCTGTACAGTCTTCAGTCCTGTAACCTTTTTCTGCTGCACGTGGCTGCAGACTCTGACAGGTTGGAAATAGAGATGCTGTGGTTTCTTTAAGCAGTGAGTTTACATGCAGGGGAGTATGGAGGAATGCATTCAGAAAGGCTTTGGGTGCACGAAGAGAAACAGTCAGTAAAGAGTGTAGGTGATGTAATCTGACCGATCTCTTCAATCAATTAAGCTCAATTTTGACCTCTAGACTAATCCATTTCAACAACAAATAAGTCAACATCCTGAGTCCACACAGTCATATTTCACAATATTAAGTAAGAGTTTATGTCCGAGTTTTGGGGAAGAGATTATCTTATTAAACTTTCTCTACTGCCTCACATCAAAGTTACTTCGTCAACAAATACGTTTTCACTTTACGAGACATCACAGGCCTTCTTGTAACTTCTACAAACAGATATCTTTATGAAAATGCAGATTATAAACCAATCTTGAAGATGTCTCCCTCATAAACACCAAGGTATAAGTCAGACCCTAAAAAACGACCATTTAAAGGAGGACAGAAAAGGAAGTCAAAATATTCAGAATCAGTTTTTCAGAGAGTTGGGCTGACACGGGAGAATATGTGATTTTTTTGTCTTCAGGTAAAAACTGATGGGTTTAAAGATTGTCTATAGCCACGTTTACATGCAGACTTTTTTCTCATTCGGATTATAATCATTCCGATTGAAGCTCCCAGGCGAACTGTTTACATGGAAGCGATCTATTCTGATCTGGTGTTTACATGTGCCACGGCATTCAATCGGAACAGCTATTTACAGACACGTGATACCTTCAAACATCACGTGATTGATTGATCACGTGATCTCCGACGCAGACCAGTGCATCGTGCTCTGCTTGGAAGCCGCCATCATGTTTCCATGTGAGTCATACGTCACTGCTTGTTTACATCAGGACAGAGCATGCGCAGACAGAACCCAGCCTGACAACTTTCCGATTCACCGTTTACATGACAGGATTTTGCTTTTAATCGGAATGGGAAAAGGAAAATTCTACCCCTGTGAATCGGAATGAAATTCCATTCGGAATGGGCCTGTTTATTCCGAATGAGGTGTTTATATGGAGCATTTTCATTCCGATTGGGCTTCTAATCCGATTATATTCGGAATATTTGGCTCCATGTAAACGTAGCTAGTGAAAAGATTTTCCAGGATGTTAAACTTGGAAGGAACTTTTTTTTTTAAATACCAGCAAAAGTTCAGATGATTTTGAAAGAATCCAACAAAGAAATGCTGCAGAAATCACCCAAAAAAAAAAAAACATAAGTAAGAAACCTCTGACTGAAGATACAGGATGAGAAATAAACTCCAAAACTGAGGACCAGACTGGACATGCTGCTGTTTGTAGGGTACTATCATAACTGCGCTTCCTTCCATTTATTATCACAGATAAGACGTTCATGTTCCTCAAACAGTCACTGAAGGTCACTCTGATCAACAGTCCTGATCCACAAACCGACCCTGGTACCTCCTAACTCTCTGTTGCTGCAGCTCGGTTCAGTCTGTTCAGCTCCTCTTGTTCCCTCTGCTCCTCGCCCAAACCTTAAATTCTGTCAGGATTTGTTGTGGCTGCCAGGAATGTCTCACTCACTCACAGACAAAACACTACAGCAGCAGTTTTACTGCAGGCAGAGCTGAAACCACTGCAGACACACTGAGAATCAGGGTCCTCGGTAGACCCCTTACAGAAAGCTTTAGGGTAGTGGATCCCTAAATTAGGGTCACTGATGGTGAGACTGCTGCAAGGAAAACAGTCGTGTACTCTCAGAGGTGGAAAAAGAAATGAACCAGACAGGAGAGTCTGAGGGGGGCGCTCAGGTCTTTGGCTTAATGAAGTGTTCTTTGGGACCGGCTCCAAAATGTCAAAAGAGGTAGAGGAGAGTATTTGATCAGTTTGTGGTTCACTGGCTCTGATATTTTCTAATCAGTGGAAGCTTTAATATTTCATTTACAGGTTTAAAATCAGATTTTTAACCTTAAATTGCCACAAGTAAGAGAGAGAGCAGCGATGGCCGAGTGTCAAAGAGAGTAAGTGAAGGTAGTGAGTCACGCTGATGACAACAAAGAAGTGAAACAGAGATTTAAGAGTTTGTTTGTGATGCTTTTAAGATGATTAAACTCCAAAAATAAACAGCTAAGAGACCCACACCTCAGCACAAACCTGCAGCAGAGAGCTGGATCACAGTAGCTTTGCACCCTTAACAGAAAATACTACAGTGCCGTCTTGTTTTTCAGACTTTTGGTTTGCTCCAGCAGGCCAGCTCTGGTGCTGAGCTAAATCTCCCTCATGAGGAGTGGAAAGAGTCTTCACGCTCCACCTGCTCTGACACACTGAACTCTATTCACAAAGCTCTCCATGTATAGGAGACATACAGAGCTGTTATCCTATCTGCTTAGTCAACCAGACAGCACCACCAGGTATACGGTTACTGCAGCCTCTGTGTGTGTGTGGTTGTGTGTGTGCGCGCGCATAGTCACCTGCCTGCGGTGTCTAATCCTGCCACGATAATCCAGCCTTGCTCTACTGACCGACAGAGAAAAAAACGCGCCAGACTGAGAGCCGAGGATGAGGACGGGTTTGCGTGACACCTCGCTGAAGAACACTGATCTGCTGACCTTCCTGCTCATCCTGACTGACTACAAAGACCTTATTCAGCCATTAAGTCATCAAGTCAGTCAGCCTGTGAGCAGGTTCACACTTTATCTAATCACTCAGACAGACAGGCTGTAAAGTCAAGTTCATGCTGCGCCCTGCGATCATTTTTCACCCTCACAGACACACTCATGTTGAATCACTGCAGGTTTCATTGCTAATATCAGACATTTCTTTACTGTTAATCCTGCTGTTGTCTCCATCAGTCAGTATTAGCCGTGTTTACGTCTGTTTGTCTCTGTTCATCTCCCTCTTTCCCCTCTCCTTCGATTCACTCTCTCACTCTTTGTAGATGGCTTCTCAGCATGAATCTGGTTCCGCTCGAGGTTTCTGCCTATTCAGAGGGAGGTTTAGACTTGTAACTGCTGCATGGAGGTTAAACCACATTATCAATCAATTTTAAATTGTAATCAGATTATTTGATTATGACGATGTTAAAAAAATTAAAATCGTCAAATCGGTTTTCCTCTCTATCATTTCTTGCACCTCCAGGCCACCGTCGGCTCCCTCTTCCTATGGGAGCGCTACCCAGTTCTCACATGCACCAGTGTGAACAAACATGGCCTTCGCTAAAGAAGGCGATAATTCTGAGCTAAAAGGGCCAAGTTTTTTGTTGTATTGGCGTTTCAGCCACAAGGAAATGGGTGACTGTAAATGCTAATTTTTAAAAACGGGTCTGAGAGTGCCTAAATCCATAAACAACTACCATTTCATCTGTGTGTGGATGACTATCTGCATCTCTTAAAACGATTACAGCGTAACTTTATTATGTTTCCTGTGTGTTTCCGGCCAAAATAACTTTATATGCATGCTCTGTACTCTTCTTCTGATATTTGTGCATTTCCTGTGCAGCAGTACAGTGCCACTTACTGGCTTGGCATACGCACTACATCGTTTTTCGTGGTTTCGTTGTGAGAGATTATAGAGAAACCTTTTTATTTTTAAAGTGAAGTTGCCACGAAATCAAAATCTAAATCTAAAATTGAGTTTTCAGAGAAAAAAAAATCAGCCCTACTCTGAACACTATACAACACAGACCTGCCCATATTTGGGTAAAGCAATCATCATAACCAGTTTAAACATGCATTTATATGCATTTTTTTGAGTGTGCCCACAGTGAGATTTACAGGCCCTATAACTGATGCAGCCACGATGGAGGGTAAACAAGTTACTTAGTGAAGTGATCTGTGATCTAAAACCAGGAGACGGACTCCCCGTGTAATCCTTGTCCTGCTCTGAGGGGCACCACCTCCTCCTCAAACAGGTGAGGGTGTCAACAGTGAGAGTGAAAGTGTCTCAGGTAAACTCAGCTCACATTTATGTTCACACAGAGCAGTGCAGCAGGAATTCAAACCTCCAAGAACCACCCCTATAGGCTGCACAATACAGGGAAAACTGTTTTATCAGTCTTTCTGCAAAAATAAAAAACAGAAAATCAACCTTTGGGATTACAGCTCCTTTTCAATAGCTAAAATAAAACCTGCAGGTCCTCCACCTTTGCCAAATACTTTACTGACAACGAGTTTGGTTCCATTGATGTGGACAAAAACTTTACATTTCCTGATAAATATGTAAATCTTATCAAATGAAACCCGTAAAGTCGTGTGAATGTTTCCAAGAAGTGCTTTGCATTTCAACATTCAGCAGGGAAAGATCTTTAACTCTGGAAACAGCCTGAAAAACCCGACCCAGGTCCCTCCTGTGTGCTGGTATGAACAGTATGTGAGCGCATGAGGGTTTTTACAACATCAAGACTGAGTTGTAGCTGAAAAATCCTGTTTTCCTTTTTTTTTCAGTCAGTGAACAGTTTTAAAAGCAGCATGTTTTTCTGAGAGTCTTTCAGGGCCTTTCAGCTGGAAAAGAGTGATGACTGAATTTTTATGACTGACAGCAGCATTTGGTCATTGTTTCGCACCTGCAACCACGCATGCAGCTGACTTCCAAATAAATGCTGTGGGTTTGTTATCGTACCGATAATCAGGAAACTCAAGATATGAGATATGTGTACATGATGCAGAACTGTTTTTCAGTGGAAACAGAGTCGAAGCACAAATCCCAGCAAACTGGTTTTATAGCTGAATAAAGGAAACATGAGACGGAGGAGTGGAGAGCGCCTCTTTTTTTAGGTAAAAAAACATGTGCCTGGATGTTGTTTAAGGGCTTGTGCGATGATTTTGATGCAGTTTGGGTTCAACACGTTCCAGAGAGTTCCAGTCTTTCATTAGGACCCGGCTTATTAGACCAATCAGCTCGTTTCTTACTCTGAGCTATTTTGAGATTGTGTGTGTGGAAGCAGCTTTAAAAGCCTCTGCTGAAACAAGCCTCAAATGACTCTGCATAAATCTGTAGAGGCTCTAATGTAGGAAAATGCCCCAAAACACACCTGCTAACCACACAGTGTGTCAGCCAAACAGCTGATAAGACTTCACTCTGCTGAAATACTGCCGCATGTCCTCCTGAGAAATAAATAAATCTCCTTCACCGCCTCTTTTTGTCAATCACTGTTTAGAAACAGGGTAAGTTAGGTAAGAAACAGACCCTTTAGGCTCATTCAGCGATTTCAGTTTAACTTGACTAAGTGTTTGCAGAAAGGAAAGACTTTGCTGTGTGAGTTATGGGATATTGAGGACCCCTTCCTCGTAAATCACTGAGTGTCAGTGAGCAGAGGTGGTTTTCATTCAAAGAATCTGACAGTAAAAATTCCTCTGAAACCAGTTTGAGACCTGACGATAAGAATGCAGAAGATAACTGTGGAGCTTTCACTTCAACTGAGAGGAAACCTTTCTGTCTGTTTGTGACGCCTGAAGGGGGTGCAGGTTCTTTATCAGCACGAAAAATAACAGCATCATTGTTTACGTTAATAGTTTTCAACAGCTGTTTTTAATCATTGTTAGGAGGTCAGGTATAGGGTATCATGAAGAAGGAACAGTACCACTCCATCCTCCAGCACCATGCTCTTCCATCTGGACTCAGACTTGTGGCTCATAAGTTTGTTTTGCAGCAAGACAATGACCCTAAGCAGTCTGCCAAGCTCTGTCAGGGTTACCTAGACAAAAAAGAAGAGGAAGGTGTTCTTCAAAAGGTGGTTTGGCCCCCTCAGTCTCCAGACCTTTCTCCAATTAAGCTTGTGCGGGATGAATTGGATCGATTGGTCAGAAAAAGGCGTCCCATGAATCAGCGTCTCTTTTTAATGAACTTAAGAAAGCTTGGAATGCAATCCCTGGAACAGACCTTAAAAAACTTGTGGAATGAATGCCTGATATATGCCAAGCTGTTGTTAAAGCCAGAGGAGGTTAAAGTCTAAGCAACAATAACTCAAATACATAATAATTATAGTCAAAATGTCTTCTGATAAGTTGTTATTCTTTACACAATAGTACAAATCTGATTTTGCTTCCAACCTTTGGCCTGTAGTGTATATTATTTCTATTTTTGACCCCCCCCCATGATAAAAATCGTGATTTTGCCAAAAAAAATCGTGATATGAAATTTTTTTCATATTGTCCACCCCTAATTACCTCTGATTTTGTTTTAAGCTCTCAATTATAGCAAACAATTATAACCACAACTATTTGGATTATGATGGATTATTATTATTCAGATCCTGCTCTCCTCCTCCTGCTCCTCTCCTTGCTCTCCTCTCTCCCCCTCCTCCTGTTCTTCTCTCCTCCTGCTCCTCTCCCTGCTCTCCTCTCTCCATCTGTGGCTGCCTGTTACAGTTTGTACTGCTTGTGCCACCATTAATCTCAATGGGAGCCTCGACTTCCTCTTGCTCCCAAGCTTAGCTCACAAAGCTGCTTATGATAAAGTGAAAGTAAGGGCTGTTAGAGGGGAAGGGCTGCACCCTCGCTGTTATGGAAGAGAGGGCGGATGTACTTTATAAAACATAAAGGACGTCGCAGGTGGCACATTAAGAGTTTGGTCTTGGTTGGCATATCTTAATGATTGTGGGGAGCATTATCAGAACTAGCTTTTTCTCTGCACTGTGGGCTTCATCAGTGGTTGAGTTTGTTCATGCAAGTACATGTGTGGTATCGTCAAGACCGAGGTTTTAATGTGAAAGAACGTTTAACAAATTAAGATCCACTGATTCATTGGTCTGATCAATCAGGCTGATTTTGAAATAATTGGAATCAGTCTACCATGTCTGGGCCCATTATAAAAAATCTTTTCATCCAGTGCCCTCACATTTCTGTTTCAGAGTAACAGTCCCTCAGAGAGCGAGGGGGAGCTGGGGGTTGAGACTGTTCAAACAGCAGACTGATGGTTTGTTTAAGGTGGTGTTTGAGCAGCTCTGGTTCACTCAGAGAGAGAGGGGGGAAAGGTAGGGTGTGTCAACATCAAGTTAATGGTTTGTTCAGTCCTTTATCTGCCACACAATGAACTTTTTATGGAGAGAGACAAACAGACAGACAGACAGAGGAGAGTTGGAGCTTTTCTTTTCTCTTATCACTCTTACATAACTCACTATCTTCTCTTTCTTTAATACTGACGGCCGCCTCATCACTCCCAGCAGCTTTGCTGTCCTTTCCAACCGATGTTGAGGTTGCCATGAATCACTGTCTCTTTGATAGACTGAAGCGGCTGTTCATGAAAGTCTGATGAGGAGGCAAACAGTTGCATCTTCACTCACACAGAAGCCAGGCCTAGCTGAGATACCCAAGCATCACATGCACTCCTGACAACTACTGGAAAACTTTAGGAAAGCCTGCCCCTGAAATTTTTTCAGAGTTTACCTTTATTGCACATCCCTCACAGCGGGAGATTCTCCATGGTGTACAAGCAGAGGTAGATCACAGCATGAAAAGGACTCAGCAGATGTCACAGTTGGATATATATACAATATTTTTCATATGGTGCATGAAATGTTGAAGCTTTTGAGATGGCTTATGCCTGGTGGTGGGATATATATCGATATATATATGTGCCATTTTACATGACATAATTGAGTATTCATACTGTCTTGGAGAGAAAACAAACGGACGGTGCATTCGCAGTCCTCATTCAGAAGCTAATCAGCAGACAGTGATTCAGTGGCAACCAAAGCATAACATACTCTCAACATGGAGGAAATATGCAGGAGTTTCCCATCCCAGCAGATGATTTGGTAGTGAAATGTGGGTCCATGTCCCTAGCCTGGAAACTGTTCGGGTTTGACAAGATCTACACTGGTCAAATTAACGTTATCTGTAAGACATGCCGAAAACGGTCGCTATGAAGAGCAGCTCAGCAAGAAATCTGTTCCACCACTCATGAACATAAAAATGAGTATGAGCAGTATGTAAAACTTTGCGACTCCATAAGCACGACCACCGCTAAAAAAAAGACGAGTAAAGCTGCACAACACACTCAGCAAACCCTCGCCAAGTCATTTAGCAAACACGTACCATGTGACAAAGCAAGTTTTTTTGTAGGATATACAAGAAAAATTACAAATAACAGAGATATATTTGTTTGTCCATTTTTCCCACCACCACTTACGCCTATATTTTGTGAACTGACAGCAATGTAAAATGATAATCCTTCAATGTGTACAAACACCTGCCCACATGCTAAATCCTGCAGAAAGGCTGAGGAGCCCAGTCGTCCTCTCTATCCTCCATTCTCCAGGCTTTTTTCTAGCTGTGGTCTCACGGTGAGAACGGGTCAATATAACGTCACGTTTGCAGCAGAAGCACGTCTCTGTGTCCACCATCAGGCAGACAGGTCGGAGGCAGAACCACAGACATGGAGCATCACCGGCAAATTCCTCACAAACTCTTAAAGCAAAGAAACTCCACTGTAGTCTCAGGATACTTCTGTGTCAGTGGACGACAGAGTGACTCATGGTGAACAGAAACAGTGAGGTCCTCACGGTCATCTGACTTTACTACAAAAATATCAAATTTTTACATTTTAATTTGATATTCCATTGCATCCTGAACGGCTCCACTGCGGAACGGTGGCGATTTTCGCCATCTGCTAATTCCTACCGGATGCATGTTTGAGGCGACTTCTGTGACGGATTACGGACAGCTTGGATTGCGAGAACTCACAAGAACCCGTGGATTCATGTGTAATTGCGCGATAACGAGTTGTCTCTGTAAAGATAGCCAGGTAACTATATGAGCAGTAGATCGTGTCCTTCCAGAGGAGGAAATCCTCTTCTAGAGATCTAGAATCAGCATCTCCTCATCCATGGTGAAATGAAGTCTGAAAACCTCTGACGTGTTTGTCCCTGCCCACGTATGTATGGTGTGAAATACGACCCGCCTGAAACACGTAGTGTTTTATTTTGAAAAGGACATGAAGTGCTCGGTAGTTTTGAGTTTAATTCAGTTTAACAATGTTTTTCGATATTTCAGGGTTGGGTTGACACTTTTCTAAGATGCACATTTCTTTTCTCCTCTGTTTTCATCTCCCTCTTTCTTGCTGTGTGTTCCTGTCAGAGCAGAGAGGGGGAAACAAATGTCAGCTGACCTCCATGTGATTTTGTTTATTTCTGCCTCTTTGCATACTATTTGTGTATCTCTCTGTCTCTGGTTTGGTCATTGGTCTCTTACATATTATTATTTCTCTGCTTGTGAAGTTAACACAGTCTTTAAAAATCAGACTTTATTTACAAAAAAAAACAAACCCCTGAGGATGTGATATTCTCGTCTGTGTTCGAGTCCACACCCTCTTTTGAATCGCAGTCATCCGTAACACTTCATCCCCTCTCTCTCTCTCTCTCTCTCTCTCTCTCGCCTTTCCCCTCTCTCTCTACCTGTCCACTCATGTTCATCCATCCCTCCACCTTCTCTGCAAACTTTCCACACACTCCTCCAAGTCTCCTTCTGGCTGCCTTACTGATCTGGATCCTCCAAAGTCTGCAGACTGAACATGTCTGAGTGGATCCTCCGTGTATGTTTCAAGTACCAGATGAACCAGATTTCAAGACCGGTGATTTCTGGACAAACTTTACTATCCCATAAACCACAGGGAGTCCAGGAGCTGATGTCAGCACTGTCTGCTCCCCTTGACTTAAAAGGTTCAAGGAAAACATCTCAGCATGGCTCCTGTGAAGGTCTTCCCCTGGTCTTGACTATCAATACAAAGATTTCATAAAAGAAGCCGTAATCTCCAATGACAGACACAGACATTTCCATTATGAGCTCATATTTACATCCTATATTACTGGAGTTTTATGAGAGGAAAAAGCTGGAGCACAGACTTAAACGTTCAATAAACAGTGAGTGCAGCATTATTGTCCGATGTCTGAACTCAAATCACGATGCCACAAATTTAACACAACTCTGAGCTGTAATAGAATCTGAACAAGGAGGGGGTCAAGAATTTGCATCTTCTGCAGCTGCTCTGAAAAGAGGAACTCACAGCAGTATCATCAGTCTTCTGATGTTTTAAGTCGAGAGCATTATTCCAACTCTTTTCTGATCACTTCTTTACTCCCTCCTGTCTCCTCGGCCTCTTGCATCCTCACAGCTAACACCCAGAAATGACACACAGTTTACACATATGTGTGGTAATATGTGTGTGTTTCTGAAATATGTTTGTTGGTAAGTATCGCAAGTGACTGTGTGTGTGTGTGGGTGTGTGGGTGTGTGTGCCAACGCCCAGCTTCACCTGAGGCTGCTATTTTCTGTCAGGAGTGAGACTTCCCTGAAATCAACCCCCCCCCCCCCCCCCCCCACACACACACACACTTTTATATCTGTAACCATCATAAACTATAAAACAGTGTGTCACAGTGATGGGACTAGTCATGTGCTGATATGAAAAATTTGATATCACGATATCAATGGCCCAAAATATCAAGATTCACGATATTATCACGATATTAGCGCATTGCTTTTAACGTTATTGAAAATGGCAAAAAACTGCGAAATCACTTCTCTGTGCACAGCATGACACGCACAAACAATATGAGAAAGATGCAGCTAACGTGATGTTGGGAGCATTAGCTTTTGGAGCTAAAGTTAGCAGAAACGTCTGACTGTTCTTGGTCCGGTGTTATGCCGTTGAATGCATCCCTGACAGGAGCACGGTTGAAAGTACATAACAAGGCGAAATAATCCAAGTTTTTTCTTACCGTTGGGTAATATCATTATAGCAGCCATTTAATATGGCATATCACGATTCAATTGTATATCGGCACATCCCTAGATGGGAATAACCCTCAATGACATCATGTCCCCTCCCGGCCTGCAGTGTGTTTTGTGTATGTGTGTGTGATTTAATTGTGCAGCTATCACTCAGGTCAAAGCACCTCGTGTGGGAAAAGCCTGTCATTGACTGTACACAGACAGACACACAAACCAACACACACACACACATAGAGCTATTCATACACAACCAGCAGAGATTAGAAATGACAGTGTGTAGCTGTAACCATTGTTTACTATGTGTGCGTATGCGTGTGTGTGTGTTTATGTGGTAATTGAAAACGGCTGTAACTCACTGTTGAAAGCTCTTTGCTATTCTACACTCAAACACACACAGAGACACACACGCTGCTGCCAGCATATTCTCAGTTCACCTTCAGCTCGCAGTGCAGGATGTGAAACACGTGCACACACTGAGGCATAAACACACACAAACAAACAAACAAACACTAATTTTACTTAATGCACTCAGCAGGAAGAAGGGCAGGTAGGATTTTGTTGGAATTGGGTGGAATTTTCCTTTAAAGACACCTTAAAAAGGAAGATGAATTCAATAATGAGCGCTAATCAAATCCTCATGAGTCAAAATTTCATTGACAGGATGAGGAGGGTGAAAAAATTAAAAGAGGAAAAAAGAGAAATTGAGAGAGGGGGAGGGTGAAGGAGTGAAGTGAGTGTTCCAGGATGGAGAGATGATGAGAGGAGACATGGAGAAGGAGTGTGGGAGGTCGATGGCTGATAATGTCACCCTGATATAGCCGAGACAGAAATCAATAAGCTGTCTGCATCCTTCAAACAGAAGCTGAAGGTCCTGTGACACTGCTACAGGTCGCTGCTCTTCCTCTGAACGCTGACATGGGTCTTTTCACAACCAGGACAGAAAACTGTGACAGTGAGGGAAGATGATCCCGCTGTTAGACCACACCCACACAAATATATACAGACAGGATTACGATACATTTAAATAGACAACATGAGTCTTTCCACCCTGCTGCAGTCAGACTATTCTACCAAGCCTGTTGCCAGTGATCCAGTAATAACACACCATATCGCTCACATGTAATACACACAAACTATATCCATTTATCAACACTGAAAATTACATCAAACTTTACTCCTAATATATGCAATGACATAGGGCTGGGCAATATGGACTCAAATCAATATCACGATATATTGAACAGTTCACCTCGATAACGATAAATGGACGATAATTACTCCACAAAGAGAGTCGCACGCAAAGGATCCACACGTTTTAGCTTGTTTAATGCACACTTTCATTAAGACATGACGGTAAAAATGAATATCCGAATAACCGCGCACATCCCTAGTTTTGGCGCCCCCTGTGGACAAAGTGATACCTCTCATCTCTTACCTTGTACAAACGTAGTTTCTGTCACTGTTGGTTTTCATCATACTGATTCATGTCTAATATCATGGCTGACGGATCAGTTAACAAACGAGGCTCCTGCAGCACTGTCATTTCAGGATCAGCAAAGCCGAACAAACACAAGAAGAGTTATTAAACTTTCTATTTGGACCGGCACCAGATTCTGTTCTGATGTGGACTGTACCCACCTGAGGGACCTTCAGTGTTTTCATAAGCAGAAAAGGTGAGACATTAATGTCTGTGCATCATCAGATTAGCTCAACTGTGTAATGACAACAATATTTCTGCACATGGAAACACGTGGTCCATCTCTACAGAGTTTAAAGCCCGGACACGCTGGCACAAAAGCTTCGTCTCTACTTGTTCTTTTATTGGCATGTCTTAGTTGTGTGATCTAACACAGTTCAGTCTGTATTTAAAGTATTAAGCTGGGTTTCTTTCTCAAATTCATGTTACAACATCACTGAAGCTCGGCTTTAAAGAGCTCCTTAGTTAATTGACAAAATAACCCGTAATCTTAAACAGGCTGATGTACCTTCATGTCTGCAGTGTGATCAGAGTGTGAGCTCTCCACAGGCGTGTTATGATGCCCTGAGGAGAGATTTATCTGAGCGGCAACTCTCTACTTAATTAGACATGATTCTGTGTGTGTGTGTGTGTGTGTGTGTGTGTGTGTGGCAGATGGCAGGAGTGCCCCACTGGTCCTCTGCCATGTTGGTGAAGTACCAGGATATGATACCACAGGCTCTGAATCACACACGCGATACGCCCTGACCGTCCCACTTCTCTGTTATCTGACAGCAGAAGTGACTCATGTGTCCAAACCACAGGATGTCTGCAAGTTCCATCACGACATCTCATCCTAAACGTTTTAACTTCAGACCCAAACTCCCTTTTCTTCAAATCCTTGGTCTTTTTGTAGATCAAACTGTGTGGACCCCTCGGGTGATGTACAATCAGCAGAGTGACCTTCCTGTCTGCTCGAATCAAGGCTGAGATAAAACGTAGAGCTTCAAGTCTGATGTCTGAACTTCTGAAGGAACAAGCTCTGCCAACAGGGACGTGACCCTCTCTTGCATAATATACATCTGCATTTCGAACGACTAAATCACCAACTGTGATTTGATAAGCCAGAATTATTTCAACATAAGACATTAGTGATTGTGTGGAGCACGCCCTGAAGGAACCAGCTTCCTCATAACAGCTATTGGGCAATGATAACTTAAGAAATATCCAATGTGCAACAACATTGTTCAAGACTGTCACGACAATATGAAGCAGACTCGAGAAAGAAAAACTGAAGAGAGCATGATAGATATAAATCATACTTTCTGAGTTTCATCGTAGTAACAGTAAGGACATTTCTCCACGTGCCCTTATTTTGTGTCAGGATTTGTGTAACAGATTGGACCAGATGTGAATCATTTACAAGTATATAGACGATGCTCGATGTCCATAGAGCCATAAACCAGATTTCTATGGATGTGAGGAAAAGGCAGTGGAGGACAAACCAGATACATTAGTGAACAAAACCAGGAAGAAAAAACAAATCATCCAATTTCAAATGATCTTTTTTGGTTCTTTTAATAGCTGTTAAAAGTAGGAGAATCACAGAGCCCTGGTAACCATAGCAACCGAGAGACAGCAAGACAGAGAGGAGGAGAGACTCACGGGCTGTGTCCAACATCACTCACTATTCACTATACAGTCTACTATTTATGAATACACCATTTTATTGTGGAGTTTCCCATAATGCGTTGTGAATTACTGATGGTCACTAAGGTCGCTTTCACACCTGACCAAGTGGACTCGGTTCGATTGGGGAGCTGAAAGTCGCAACATTGTTGCATTTACCACTTGTTTCAGTTCTGCTTTCACACTGTGATTTCTAAAGCGCACCGAACTTCCCGAGCAGCATCACGTGATTGAAAGGGGCGCTGGTCAAGTGGACAAAGTAGGAGGGGTATGTAACCCCTACAGATTACAAACAGGGGTGGACTAGCCATCTCGTATCGTGCTTCGTCACATTATTTTATGAAATGCTACAACGTTAGTGAACACAACTGTTCCTATAATGCTATCGTAGCTTGTCGGGGATTGATCCTGTTATTTTTCTAAATTTGACGATCTAACATGTGACAACATATGAGCTCAGAGTTTAAGGACTGTGACTGTTGGTAGTTGTGATTTGACTTTGTTTAAATATGCCAAATTGTGAATTTATGGGTTATTGTTGTTCAGACAATTGAGCTAAGCTAGCTAGCAACTTCTAATGTCAGCGGTCATTGTTGCCATAGCAACAAGGGACGCCATGCTTCCTCTACCCAAGATGCACTGCATATGCACTGCGTATAGCATCATTACGTACATTTGGTCCTGTGTTTGGTCCGGTGAGCTTTCACACTGCATACGAACCGAACCAGGGTTCACTTGTAAGCAAACCCAGACCCACGTTTTCAGGCGGACCAGAGTTCGCTTGTTTGGTCCGCACCAGTTAGGATGAGCTTTCACACCTGCCCAAACGAAGCAGACTATCTGAGGAAACGAACTCTGGTCCGTTTAAAGTGGACCAAACAGTTCTGGTGTGAAAGCGACCCAAGCGGGCAATATAACAGAAAACAGGCATTTAATCTGGTGAGCATCTCAGCAAATTTAGATGTTTAAAAAAAACATTTAATTAAAAACAAAAAGGTGATTAAATCTTCACTGAAACATCTGAAAAGCTGATTTTCTCATAGTGGATGAATCGACCACCACCACGGCTAATTTTGTTTACAACCTCAGCAGTGAAGACACACAGACAACAGGGTGCTAATGGAAAACAGATCAAACTTTCCTCACATAATGCTGTTAGTTAAAGCAATTAATGGAGCACCGTACTTTGAAGTGAATACACAGCCTGCTAATAAACACTCACAGCTAACAAGAATCACAACTTCAAACAGGAGGAGACAGCAAGAAAGAAGAGGAGAGAGGATTTCACATTTCGTTGTTGTCAAAATGAGAAGATAAGAACAAGGAGGTGAATTTGAACCAAAAGGTAATAACCGCTCAGTTTAAAGCGTCAACTTTACTCACTAACAGACTCCACTCTGAACTCCTCTGTGTCTGTTTAAACTAAAAAAGATGCATTCAGGGCCAAATGGAAACTAAGGGCTGCTAACGATGAACATCTGAGAGCAGTGAAACAGACAGACAGACAAACAGGCAGCAAAGGGCAGCCTGCTCACCCAACATCAAAGAGCACACACACAGCTGGTAAAATCCACCCCCATCCAGGCCTGCTCCCCTCTCATATGGCCCACTTCCAGATTTAACCTCTGCTCATTCATTACCCAATCAACATCAGCAGGACTCATTCTCAATCCAGACAGGAATAGACCCGTGTTTCAGGCCTCAGATGTATCTCAAGTTCACTCACACTCATCTACAACTCTCGGTTCAAAGGTACTGGAAGAAGGTGGCTGTGACAGCGGTACACTTTAACAGGCACAGGTTTTCTTTGACACTTTCAGAAGAAGAAGCAGAAGAAGCAGAAGAAGAAGCAGAAAAAGAAGGAGAACTTTATGGATCCCCGAGGAGAAACTCAATTGTCTGTAGTCTCATTTGTCATCTCTCAAGTCATCTACCATTTACAGAAAAATTATAAAGTCTGATGGCTGTGGGTACGAAGGATGCACTTAAGAAATTTGAGGTCTGCATTTTTAATGAATATCTGTTTTATCGAAGCCCACACTTCACATGTTTGACATCACTGATGATAAGTTACCGATAAAGAGGTCAATACTGATGTCTACAGGTGAACAGATCCATGTGCATTCACATACAACTAGTGGTGCCTTTCGTAGAGCCACGATATTATATGAGATGACAGTCTTCTCACAATAATGGCCCATTGAAAATCTTTACAAAATGCCTCATACTTGCCGCCAGCATTGTCACAAGAATAAGGATGAAAGGATATTAAACCCCCCTACTGTGGACCTATCCTTTATTTTCAACCTCAAACTAACTTTATTTGTATTACCTGCTATTTCTAATTTCCATTCTTAAACAAATTAGCTCGTTATGTAACCTTTGTCTATTTAAGACACACTTACTGTATCATTCACAAACAGAATATCAGCACCAGTAAGCTTGATGTAGTCAGGGTTATTAAAATCAACAGGCTGGCGGACACTCTTTGGTAGTTTGTCCTACTGCTTATTAGATAATAAAGCAAACATGATGATGATTTATCACCCTGTCTAACCCTCGCACATTTAACTACATAATTACATATTCAATGTTTTATTAAGGATTTCACAACCTTCCCTAACAGTGGATCTCCACTGACTGTCTCGAATATTTCATCATGACCAAATTGAAAAGTCTAACAAACTTTTAAAGACAATATGAGAAAATGTGTGTTTCAGTAAGTGGTTGAATTTTTCCCTCACAAACAAACTTATTTCATTTTCATTGATTCTGATTTAGTTAAAAGCCGTTTGGTCCTACAGTAACACCATCTAGCAGCACATGTAGTCGAAAAACATGGAGACAATAATAACATTAATTGTATTAAATACAAACTAAAATATATAATTTCTGTAACTGAGACATTAATACCCAATACAACATACTTAAGTGAAAGGTAGTTTTAAAACATTTTTATCAGTATTATGCAATTTAAAGAAAAAATCAGTCAGTTAACTACATTTAATTTAGTGAGTGTGACATTATAGAGCTAAAATGTGAGATCATTATTTACAAAAACTCAAATAAAATGCAAACACTTTTGTTTCTATCTACTTGATATTACTGACAATCTGTAAAAAACTATTAAGTATGTTGGAAAAATGTAAAAATTTTTAGATAAATTATGGTCGCACCACATGACAATTCATCTACATGAAAAAAACACTGAAATTGCCTAATTTAAAAATTTAACATTAATTTCTGTATACACAACATCCTTAGTGTTTGAACTTCTGCAAAATATATTCTTATTTTTGCTATTTTAAAATTGACGTGTTTAAAAACCTTATAGGTCATTGACTCTTGTACATATTTACAAACTTGTTGCTAGTTTGCTTCATTTGTTCTTTCTACATGTGTCATATTTTTTAAGAAAACGTGCATTTTAACAGTTTTCCTCACACCTTCTCGTCCATATCTTTAAGTCTTGTAAAAGGTCAATAGTAAGGCCTCGTGTGTTCACTCAGAGATGCTCAGTGTTTCTGATGGAGGAGCAGAGTTCAGCTTTTCCATGAAAATCCGCTTCATGTCGTGAAAAGACACAAAGTTATAAAACAGGGAAACTATCAAACATGGCTTAAATGTGCTGAGGTAATCCGGAGTAAATAGAAAGTTAATTTAATTAGATTTTTTTTTTACCTTCATGTCGTTCATGATGAGCTGGAAAAGCCCTCCCAAGGCGCTGCATTCCTTCTCTATACCCGCATCCATTTTTCCACAGGCTCGGAAAAATCCTCCCGAACTTCCCAAACTTTTTACCTCCCTCCTCCTGGACGAAAAAACTCCAAACCGAGTCTAAAAACCCTCAACAGTAGAATCAGCAGAGCCCTTTTTTATTTGTTTAATTGGAGGGTGAGTTTCAACACCCAAAGGGCAAAGTCCACCCTTTAAAAAGAATCCAAAACAGCCCAGGAAAAGGAGGAAAAACCGCTCACGGGAGGAAAATCCAGGTCCACATAGGCTTTAGTCAGCCGATGCTACCAGCCGGCCAACTCGATAAACCTCCGAGAAAACAACACATCATGACTGAATCATAGAGCACACTGTCTGGAAAATGTCTGAAGGGTTTTTTGGAGTTTAGCTCCGGCCGGTTCAAGTCCCGTGTAGAGGCAAAGCTCAGCTAACCGCAGAGAGCTAACTCCGCTAGCAAGGTTAGCGTCAACTCCGCTAGCAACCTGTGACTGACTGACTGAGTGTGTGTTTGCTCTCCAAACGAAAACACACACACAGTCCTGATCAATCAGGGCGCCAATAAAGATCAATACGTTTGTTATCCGATATCAACTTCCAGTTCGAATACGCACTAGTCTCGTTTTTCCGAAACGTATCAGACTGAATTCAGGTTGTTTTCTCGGGAGTTTTGGCGACAGCGCGAGCCGTTTTCCTCCGGTTACTCCAACGGGAGTCCTAACCTGAAGTGAATGATGCTGCGTTCACGTACTGCGAGGATGGTGGGATTTCTCGGGTTAGGAAGTCGCTCTTCCGACTTCAGCGTGTTCAGGGACTTATGGGGCAAATTAATAAAATCGGTTATATTATCAATGTTTATAAGCTATCACCGAAAAACTGATTGAGGTTTTTCTGCGTAGACTAAGACCGGTGGTCATTCCCTAATGTCACGCTGCTTAGTGTTATTAAAGAGAATATTGATGTGCAACATCTGAAGAATGGTCTCCAAGACCTTTTACATCAACTATCATTTTACCGCAATATTTCTTCATATTAATATCACATTTTTGTCATATGACGCAGCAACATTTATGCCGGCGTTCTTTATTGTTGTGGACCATTTAGTGAGCGCCGAAGTAAACGTATAACCAAGTAGGCAACTCAATTTTCCGATTATTCTGATACCACGTGAAATGTGAGTGAACGTAAACCTGAGCACCGCTCGAAGTTTACTCAAGTGACACGAGTCACATCCGGTCATGATTTTCAAATTAAAGCAATGCTGAGTCTTAAGATGCCTCTTAGGAAGTGTGATTTAAAAAATTAAATAGAATGAATAAATTAAAGATTTTTTTTTAAATAATTACTTCAACAGGCATAGGCATTTTTTAAAATGATCCAGGAAGGACAATAATGTAGTTTGAGGATGTACAGATAGCACCCCAAATGGTTGAATTTGAGATCACTGAAGTTTTCCCCATGTGCACACGTGACATTTAACCAGTTTCAACTTCCACAATGCTCATACAATTTGTTTAAAGTTTGTGAAGTATTAGAATTGTTGAATAAGTAATGCAGAAATTAAGCATAATATTTTTTAAAAATGGATGTTTGTAACAAAACAAAAAACACACTGAATAGCTCATGCTAATGATAAAATAATAGAATATGGTTATGATTTAAAAAAAAGAAAAAAATACTCGGGATCAGGAGCAGGATCAATGGTCATATAAATGCTCTTATCGTCATATAAAGTCTCTGACGGTAAAAGTTAAAAATTTCCACCCGCACTAACCAACAGCAGTGTGGGTCATTTTCAAATTTACATTTAAATATACATTTTGTTTGTTTTTGTGCCTGTTTTCATTTGCAAGCAGGCAGAATATCTTCTCAGTGTTCATCTTGATTGATTTGTTCATTTGGAGCACATATATAACGAAAAGTTTACTTTGTATGAGCTGAAACGAGCTACAGTGAAATACTAATCTTCCTTTGTGTGCTGTCTTTTATTCACATTTAAAAAGAATAGAAAATGACAGAGTATATGATAATATCAGTATGCAATGGATTTATAGCCTTATATGGACAATAATCATACAATTATAAAGTTTAACAAGTCAGAATATAATAAACTCGGATTAGAAAAAAAGTTAAATGAGAAAAGAATGGAAAAGGTAATTAGGAAGTTGACTAAGGCAATACAAAAAACTGCTCAAACGAATTTTTTGTGTATGACATAGTGGTCACTAGTCGTATTTTCTTGCTTCCTGGGAGCTTTTATTTTGAAGGCCCCATTATTTCCCCCTATGCTAAATTGTGCTCACCTGACGCTGCTGCGTGTCAGTGGATCGATGAGGTTAGTTGTGTGGGGAAGACGGGGCAGTCCTGCGGGGCGGGGCCACAGAGAGCAAGAACAAACAGAGGAACCTGATATAACTTTGATCAAACTTTAATGAAATAGTACATTACATGAAGATGAAACATACGGTTTGAAACTAAACATATGATTTCATCTTTTAAGAGGATTTTTTAAACAGACAATTTATTCTTCAGATTAAAAGTGTGTTAAGATGTTTGTGTGAACAGTCATTTAATTTAAAAATCTTGTACCCGTGTAATAAATAGACCATAGAGGATATTGATATGTGGGCTTAAGATATTAGATTTATGCACAAAAAGATAACTTGTAATTAAGGAGTAGATCTCTTGTGTGCTGAAGCTGTGTTGTAGTGGGTACATATTCACTAACTTACACTCGAAAGACATTATCTAACTAATGTAATTATATAACGATTGTGTGCACAAGTTATTTACTTCTGTGCACAATATAATGATCTTTGGGGAACACGTGTAACCTCTGTTGATCTTGTGAGTGCAATGTTTTAGTTAGTTTTTGATGAAAGATAAATCACAGTGTCAGTCGTTAGGTTTTGGTCAAACATAAAGGCTCTGGATCTTCATCATCTGTAAAACAACACAAACCAAAACCAGCTGAACTGTAAACAGTGATTATATTCAGTACCTATATCGGAATGTATGTGTACTGTGTTGAAACTCTTTTTACTAAAGTATGGTTTATCAAACACCCAGGCTGTTCGCACTCACCTCATTCCTTCAATTACATAGCAACCAGCCCACAATAAACACACACTCACAGTTTTGTGCACGTGTGTGTGTGTCGGTGTATTTCACTGATTCACCCGGCAACAAGCTGAGTCACATCCCCGACCACCTCTCTGCTGGGCTGATCACCATGGTGACCAGCATGCTGCTGTGTAATTTGCTGAATCATGGGATGAACATAACGTGCACCAGGTTGGTTTCCATGGATACCAAAGTGCCAGTGAGGGATGATATGATATTAACATTAGGATATAGAAATAATGAAGTGTAAAAGCTGGTCTGTTTTAGACTAGGATGTAGATTAGACAATCATTAAATCAAATAAAAGTTAAAAGAGAAGATCCATCAGGCTTAATGTGTTCATACATTTATATCCTTATCTTTCTAAATATAAAAGATATTTCTGTAAACAAAATACTTCAGACAATCTAGTTTTTGTGACTTCATGGGTTTGTATGAAAGATAAAAACCTTTGTGTGTCTGCTGTACTCAGCTTTATCTTTACATCTTAAGATCTGGACAATAATGATGAGGACTTTTTTTATCAAATCAAATCACCAACTACTGTCTCTGCCTCAGAAATGCTGAAAACATTGTTACATTTGTCTGAATTATAAAGCAAAAACTCATATTGAGCCACTGTAAGCTGCACAAACCTCAGATAACTGTTGTATTATGATGGACAACAGTGACACCTGCTGGCCAAAGGCAACAACTGCAGCAGGAGGTTATTCAAACAACTCATAACATGACATGGGTCACAAAGAGCACAACAAATTAAACAAAAGATTAAATCTTTTCAAAAAAGAAGGGAAATTTTAGCTGAAATACACAAGTTAAATCACACTGAGCCTCTTGAGAGCTTCCGGTTTTCACTGGTTGAGTTATATTACAGAGTGTTTCTTTTTTCCCCTTTTTTATACAGGGTAGAAACATAGACTGTATATACTATGGCTGTGTCTCATTTCAGAGACCGCATCAAGCTAAGCTGAGCGCACTGCCGTTATGTGGACTGGAGTACCCTGAGTGAGATGGTCCGGTTTTTGTGAAATGGGACACACTACCCTTCGGAGGACTTCCTGGTTGAGTCGCCAAATTTCCAGGTTTTTTTTATGATTGTGCGACCTTTCACAGACACAAAACAGTAGATATGTAGCATTTTTTCCAATAGAAAACATTGATAATATTTCTTAATTAGTGGAACTAAATATCAGATATGCTGTTTACAGTCTAAGGGTTAGGGTTAGGGTTAAAAAAAGCATCAGTAAAAAACCATAAACAAGAGACCTGATAGGTTTCTGTTCCTCTCACCAGAGTAAGAACTGAGCCAAAAGTGAAAGTTAACGCCTGGCGTATTGCAGGAAAGATAAGCGTCTTTTGACAGATGTTACTAACCCCACAGTCTGTAGATCAGCGCAAATTTCACCTGTTTCCTCTCCCTGACATACTTCAGAAGGAGGGACACACAAAATTAGACATAGGCAAAAAAACAAAAAGACAAACCAAATGCTGAATCCAAAGATCTAATTACGACTTTGTTCAAATGTGGCCACCTTTTTAAATTGAAGGTTTATAAAATATCAGGTTCATGGATACACACACGGCTTTCCTCATTAAAAGAAAAACTCGAGTTTTCCTGCCAGTCAGTCCAAAGGGCAGTGACAGATAGAATAATAATTTATCGCTCCACCTCTGCTGACTCACTAAAGCCCAAAACAGGAAATGTGAAACAGTTTGTCATTCTCAGAAGAGACATGAAAGCAGAAGATTAAACTCACGACCGTTCAAACTGTTCTACAGAATCTGAAGAGAGCTGAACCTCCATACACTGAATGTGAGTTTGATTTAAGATATACATCTCAAAGTGAAAGTAACTTTAGTCAACTTTCTTCAGGGGGGGTTTATGCTCTAACTGATTAATGTGGTGTTTTTCGGCTTCAGTCTGATAAAAAAAATGGCATCCCTGACAGAGGAGGATCTCTGCTGTCCAATCTGCCAGGAAGTCTTTAAAGATCCCGTGGTTGTATCCTGTAGCCACAGCTTCTGTAAAGACTGTCTGGAGAACTGGTGGGGGTCCAAACGAGAACGAGAGTGTCCCATCTGTAAGAAATTATCACCAAAGAGGATTAAACCACCAGTCAGTCTGGTTTTAAAGAACCTGTGTAAGGCCTTCTTACTGGAGCAAGACCAGAGAGCCGCTTCAGAGTCTGAAGATCTTTGTGATCTGCACTCTGAGGACCTCAAACTTTTCTGTCTGGACCATCAGCAGCCCGTTTGTGTTGTCAGCAGAGGCACAAAAATTGAAAATAACAAAAGGTTAATCCCCGTAGATGAAGCTGTGAAGGGTTGCAGAGAGGAGCTGCAGAAATCTCTGAAGCCTCTGAAGGAAAAACTGAAGATCTTTGAACAGGTGAGGAGAAATTGTGATGAAACAGCAGCTCACATTAAAGTCCAGGTCAGGAACACAGAGAGGAAGATTAGGGAGCAGTGTAAAAAACTTCAACGGTTTCTACAGGAGGAAGAGGAAGTAAGGATTTCTGCTTTGAGGGAGGAAGAGGAGCAGAAGAGTCAGGTGATGAAGGAGAAGACTGAGGCTCTAAACAGAGAGATAACAGCTCTTTCAGAAACCATCAGGGTCACAGAGGAGGAGCTGAGAACTGAAGACCTCTCATTCCTGCAAAACTACAAAGCTGCTGTTAAAAGAGTCCAGCAGCTCCCCCTGCTGGAGGATCCAGAGCTGGACTCGGGAGCTCTGATAGATGAGGCCAAACACCTGGGTAACCTGAGCTTCAACATCTGGACCAAGATGAGGAACATAGTCTCCTACAGTCCTGTGATTCTGGATCCAAACTCTGCTCATCCTGAACTCATACTGTCTGGAGATCTAACCAGTGTGAGTCGTGACACCAGACAGAAGCTTCCAGAAAACCCAGAGAGGTTTGATGCTTACCCTATGGTCCTGGGCTCTGAGGGGTTTGACTCAGGGACTCACAGCTGGGATGTTGAGGTCGGAGATAATCCTCACTGGGTCCTGGGTGTGGCAGCAGAGTCAGTCCAAAGGAAAGGGGACACAGGTTCACACTCTAGGCTGTGCGGGATGAGGCTGTTTAAAGGTGAATACACAGCCTGCTCTCTGCCTGGTTCATACACTAACGTCCCAGTCAGAAACCTCCAGAGGATCCGGATTTATCTGGACTTTGACAGAGGAAAACTGTCATTTAGTGACCCTATTACAAACTTACACTTATTCACTTTTACACACCCTTTCACTGAGAGGCTGTTTCCACTCTTTATCAGTGGAAACAAACTCCCACTGACGATTTTACCAGTGCCATATAATGGAAATGATAACAGCCTGACTTTTCAATATAATGTAGATGACGTTCTTGAATATATTTACACACATCAGCAGCTTATGAGCAACCGGTGGTATTAGGACGAGGCATTATCAGTAACTTTTATTTTTCAAATTAGGGCTGTCCCAATGTGTTCAAATGGACATTTTCATCTTACAAAGATAGACACCTTAACTTCGTCCTTAACGCCGAAGTATAGACTGTATATGGACAACTTGGTTCCGCCTTCCGCCAGTATACGGATTTGAGCTGCGTTCCAGTTACCTCGGAAGTCAGATGTCCAAACTGGGAATGACGTCACACCCAAGTTACCAGCGTTTCAGTTACCAAGTCGGAAAACGGCAAAATCAGAGGCGGAAACAAGATGGCGTCCATTCTATATACAGTCTATGCGCGGGAGCAGACGCAGCAGGTGCTAACCATAGACTGTACATACTATGGACAACTTGGTTCTGCCTTCTGCCAGTATATGGATTTGAAGCCGAAAAACTCTAGTTATTTCCGGGATTTTCTTCATTTCCTGAATGCAGCACTGCGCAGTAGCGTTGTGCGCATTCGGCGGGAGAGTCGCCGAGAGTCGCTGTGATGACGCTCGGCCGTAGACTGTATATGCGCTCGGCTCAAACAGCGTATCCCCCGATTGAGCTACGCAATCCCTGAACGCCAATAGGCTGTATCAGGTGTCAATCATAGAAAACATGAACCCCCTTAACTTTTAAAAATGGAGCTGTACAGAAAAAAGAGGACTTGAGCACAAACCCGTCTGACAGCATCGCAAGCATTTTTTTTTTTACAGTAGTAACCTGACAAATGAAGGATCATACTTTCAGGCATCATCAGGTCTTTTGGTCCTCAAAAACCACCATCACCTCGTCCACTGTAGGGGTGAGCAGGGGAGCATTTCAATCATTATTCTGCCTGCTAGATATAACTTATTATCACCATTTCTGCACAGGTATATGTGATTTAATCTTGCATGGTGGCCCAAAGAAGTAGAATGGAGAAAAACAATAACAATAAAACATCTTTGCTGAAAAATAGTCTTTTAATGGAAACCCACAGACAAATGTGTAAAACACAGATAGAAACGGATTTTAAATATAAATCACCCCTTTTATTACAAACATATTGTGTACAGGATTTTACAGCATAACTAAAATATTTGGGTGAGTTTGTTTTCTCTTTACTGTGAAAATTAAGCATGTGAATGATGTTCCTGAAGGCAACGCTGGTTTTCTTTATGTCACAGCTTACTGTTCATATTCAGGCAAAATGTGATGTATCTAAATCAGACAAAGAATAAAGGTTAATTGTGTTTACTCTTAAAACATGCAGTGTTTCATTTTAAATTAGAGGTTTTGTTATGAAAGAATTTCTTTCAAATGTTTTTAGTAAAATTGGTAAAAATTTAAAATATTGGCAGCAAGAAAGTCAAACATTTTGCAGTCACAGCATCTTGCATCAAGTAACTAAAAACTAACAATGGTCTTTTTACTCCAATTCCTCTGCTCAAAAGGAAAGCCAAAACACCAAAAGAAAACTTTCCTTGCAATCGTGACAGATTACTGAAGTAGAAACAACTCACTTAAGTAAGACTTTATGCAAATATGGTGTAAAAACTGTGACTATCTGTTGATTTTTGTCTGTGTATTTTGTCACAAAGTAGCAGACTACAAACAATACAACGGCTGCATATTGGACATTTTTAACAAGAGGACCGGTAGAAAAAATATATACTTTTCTTTGCTTTTGTCAAGTATAAAACCATAATTTCATCATCAAAGATTTACAAAGATTTAGAGTAAGTACAGTTGCCAGTTCTGTGACTAAAAGATAAAGCACCAACCGCAAACCCAAAATATACAAATGCAAACATAGAAAATTTGGATAAAATTAACCTTTCACTTCTTTTTCTAAACAGTCAGTAAAAGCGTAGTGTTGTAAAAATTAGACTGAAGACAGTAAATAAAGTTTTAATTACAGAAACCTGACAGATGTAGTTGTATAAAGTGTGACGGAGGCAATGTGTGATGATTTGGCAGATTACTACGCTTAATTAACTACAAGCAGACAGTCACTAAAGTAAATAAGGCTCTCTGAGTGATAGGAAGCTGAACCAGAACTGCTACTGGAAGGATCACCCAACTAATTAATTATTATTAATATTATTAGCAGGATGTAAATAATAAGAAGCAGGTGCAAACTCTGGTTGACTGTACGTGCCCAAAGCAGTAATTCAAAAGTACTACACATACGGTATTTTGCATAAATGTTATTTTCCATTTCAAATCTCAGGGCACACCGTGTGCAGCAGAGATGAGATATTAGAAGTGGGTTTAACCTGCAGTTTTCCAAATGGCCAGTAAGGGGAGTCTTGTTGCAAACACAGAACATAGCTCGCATTCTCACCCGGCCCTAACCTCCTGTCCAAATATGCCCAGTTCTGGCCTAAAGAAACCAGCAAGGAAGCAAGAAAAGTACTGACCAGAATGACACGGCCATTTCCATCATACATTACCCAGTAGTTTCTGGGTGTGATGTGGACCAATATTTGTGGTCACCACAGGAGATGCTGAGTCAGACTTACTGAGTCAGGCTAATCTAGAAACTGTTTTCAAGATCACTGTCTGACTTAGGCTTTAAAATTATTCCAATCTGCTGGTAAAACAGGTATTTCACATTGGTGTAAATGGGATTTTCTGGACTTGCAGCAGCCACTAGTGGACATGTGAAGAATTGCAGTTTTTCTATCAATCAAGCTTGGCTTCATATTTCACCAGCTGAGTTCACCTTTCTTCAAAATGATCGCCTACTAACCAATGGATGATGTCACGATGGCCACACCCACTTCTTATACCCAGTCTGCATATGCATTGCTAATAAGCGATGAGCAGTTGCTTTGCAGTTTAACAAATATGTGCCTGCTGTTTGCAGTGGTATAAAGATTGCTGTCATTACTTGGTCTGACCACTAGAGGGCATCGGTTTTACAGTACGTTTTTACTGTAAATGTCCTCTTCAGAACATTTTACAGGAACATTTATGTAACAAACAAACCTAAAAGAAAACAGTGTTGTGTATTCAAGTTCAACATTTCTCTGACCAAAGTATTGATGAAGATTTTAGAGAGTAAGATGCCGATGCTGATGATAGTATCAGGAGATGTCACGTCACATTTCAGGTGAACTGCCCGGTGGAGGAAACAAGCATGTTGAGCTTCACTTTGACAAGGCTGGTCCTGCTCTTCTCCCCCTCAAGATTATACTGAGGGGATTCGATCTGTCTATTCTTCCGCCCCAAAAGGTCCTGAGCAGCTCTTTCAGGCTCCTCTGAGGTGGTCCAGTCCAGTCTTCTGTCGCCTGTTTGACTCCACGAAACATCTTAGCAGCACTTTCATTTTCCTATTTAGTGATTTCCAGAAGAATGTGACCTGTGTCTTTGTGTTTGTATCAGTTCTTGTATCGACCCATGGGCTTGGATCAGATCACAGTAGAGTGGTCCACTTTGGCCCTGAACCTGCTATGAGTCCAGGACAGAAACCTCTGATCCTGTTCGGTTGGTGATCTGTTTGTCCACCCATCTGTCCACCCATTTGTCCGAGGTCAAATCCTCATCTCCCCTCTCCAACCCCTCCCTTTGTCTCTTGGCGAGATCACTCGCGATAGCCAGTGCTCCTCCTTTCAGGAACCTGACAAAGTTCTCGCCGACCAACGGCCCCATGGCGTACATCCCTGGTCCATCTGCTGCGATTACGCTGTTCGTGAATGGATCCACCTCGATCGGGTTCCTCCGGCACGTAATTGGCTCATCTGGGTAAATGCCAAGTGGACGCCCGTTGTCACCCAGGAAGGAAAGACTGGGATGAGCGCCAATCAGGACCAGCGCCTTGGAGACTTGAACCACAGTTTGGTGGCCCGAGTCTGACTCCAGAACGCACTTTTTATCAGGTCGGAAAGCCACGACTTTGGAGCGTGGAAAGCTGAGATACCCCGGGTAAGATGAAGGGGAGGAGGGAACAGAGGGGGAGGATGGAGGGGAGGAAAGAGGGTACGAGTTATGGAGGTTCTGGGCCTGGTTCTGCGGTGGCGGGTTTGGCCGGTGCTGCTGCTGAGTCATCATCTGGTGAACCTAGAGACCAATAAACAGGAAAGAGAGGGTTAGGTTTGACTCAGCAGTCTCTCCTGTGGGAGAGTCAGTGAGTTTGGCAGGTACAGTCTTGGTGAGGGGTGATGTCAGCCTCAGCCTTCTTGTCAGTAGCACCATTACTACACTCAGGCGGCTCAGTTTGTGTATGAGTGAGAAAACTCATGAGCTGTGGGTTTTCTCCTCTCCTCACCTTGTGGTACTCTGGGTAGAGCAGTTTGGGCAGCTGGTTGAAGATGAGGCCGGGGTCGTTGACTGATCGTCTGAAGGCGTGGTAAACCGGCGTGTTGAGATGGTGAGCGGCCAGCACTGCATCAGCTGCGGTTAGCCCTGCCCCCACCACCAGCACAGGGTCTGACGTTTGGTCGAGCTCGCCCCGAGAGATGGCGGCCTCCAGTTCCCAGAAAGAGTGGCAGACGTGGGGCAGAGACTCGCCCTCCACGCCGAGCCTGGCTGGGATGTCGTGGGTTCCTGTCGCCAAAACCACATTATGGGCCAACAGGGAGAAAGGGACCTCCTCTGACACTGAGGAGCCATCTGATGGGGAAGAGAAGAGAGAAAAACAAGAGAGTAGAGTCAGTATCTTGGACATTCTTTTACGTTATAATCCTGTAAACAAGCAGAGAGAAACACCAAGACGTCAGACATCAGTTTGGGGATTTTTTGGGCTGTTGGGACAAATGTTTGGACCTGAAGGTGGACATGCATTAAGATATCTACATTATGTCCTTATTGACACGTTATCTTTTAATATCAAGAGCTTTGACATATTTTACATTTTAAATCTGTTAAATGAAAACCCAAATTTAATACAACATCATGGACCAAATTTGAGGAACTGAAACAGTATTTGACCAAACATGTGTTCATTCACTCTACCTCCCAGCTCTTCTCCCTCTCTGCGCTGCAGTCCCGACACCCTCCAGCAGGGTGGCGACCCTTCCTTATTGCCAGGCTGCCTTGTTACTGAGGTGACGGTGGTTCCGCAGGCAAAGCTCTGCTCCAGGGACATCTGGGAAACGTAGTGTTGGTAGTAGGAAGCAATTTCTGCTGGAGTGGCACGATCATTACGGACATTTCTGGATCAAAATAAACAAGAAAATAGGATTAAAACCAAAAATCTTACACTGATGTGGCTCTAAACAACATAACAAAGAGGCCATTGTATGAGAAATCAGGGTCACTACATTAATATATTTGATTTAAACAAGTATTTGTGAACTCACTATACTTAGCTTAAAACTATATTTATAAATGTGAGGAAAACATGTCCATTTGAGTGCTGTATGAGAATTATTCAAGTCAGATGTAAATCAGCAGTGAAGGTGAATACTCGTCCTGTCATGCAAATCCTGCAGCCTTTATCAGAGCTGCATTCATTTGAAAAACAAACTTAGTGGGAGTATCACACACTCACATGTGCTTCACTCTTTGCTCGTTCACTACCTTTATGTGGTGCTAAACAAATGCGTTGATTTTCATGTGTTTCTTGCTCTGCTTATCGTGGACAAACCTGCGCTTTTCCCTCATCCAGTCCTTCAGTTTGAGTCCAGGAAGCTCCATCCAGTTAGCGAGGCTCAGAGTGAGCATGGAGCCCTCCATGGCCTGAGAAAAAAAAACACACATTACAGATTTAAAATGACTCCTGACTTTGTTTTTAAATAAGTTTAGTGCAGAGTTTCAGAGGTTTCACTTGTTCTGCTTATTGAAATGTTGATCTGCGGACACGTCCGCCTTGCTGAGTCATGTGCACATCACATTGTGGATGTGTGCAAATAAGCAGGTGACGGGGGTAAACAAAGCCTGTTTGCACACATTAACATAGTGTCTGCACGCTCAAGGACGAGAACAAAAGCCCTGCTGTTTCAGGGGGTTTTGTATTTCAAATAAATCTCATAATTAATATTGACGGACTTTGTTTTTTTTCTGTTGTGCTAATATTTATCAGAGTGAGATATGGCTGAAATGCAAACATGAGCTGCTGGCATCTGCCTGTCAGGTCGTGTCCTCACACAAAGAAAAATGTCTTATTTAACCCTTTAGTATTCAAGTTCTCATATGTTTTATAAAAATGGATTTAACTACAAAACAGCTTTTTCCCAAACGCTGTTCGTTCCACAAATGCCTCCATGAAAGCCAGATGATGTGTTCCCTATGTATTTATGGGTGAAGTTTTAATTCTTTTACTAGTTTTAACTCTGCGCTGGTTTTACTGTTTAACTGTCTAATGTTTTATCGTCCCTTTTTTAATGCACTGACTGTAAAGGCACTTTTTAATTTTCTTGTGCTCGTCACAAAGACAATAAAACTCTATCTATCTATCTATCTATCTATCTATCTATCTATCTATCTATCTATCTATCTATCTATCTATCTATCTATCTATCTATCTATCTTAAAAAAAGCTAATTTGTCAGTAACGTACATGCCAGGCCCCTCCAGGTGGACCCTTCCCCAGCACCAGGTGAGGGATCGCTCTCTCCGGCTCGTATCTCCACTCCAGCGGAGACGTGTAGTCCAATCCGAAGTCGCTGTCAGGAAGCAGCAGCGAATCAAAAAGCACAGCAACCGGATTAGACGACCGGCCCTCCAACCCCTCGCACAGGTACTCCAGGTCCTAAACAGACAGGAGGGGGCGCTGTGAGGTGCTGCTTCACTTTTACATTTCTCTGAATAAAAACATCCTGATGTGAGTCAGTCAGAGTTTCTGTGGGTTACCTGCTCCAGCAGAGACAGGTGAGGCTGCTCTGCCAGCTTGCTATTCAGCAGGGGGTTGGGGTGCGATGCATCAGGTGACAGATAGGGGGTGTAACCTGACAGCAGGTATGATAGGCAGATTCCTGAGGGGCCATTACCTGAGAGACAAAGAGAGAAAGAAACCTCATTGTGGTATCCAGTTGCAATAATGTTGCACATAATGCTGCTGTGGCTGTGTTTATATCCACATATCAAGTGTTTGTACCATTAGAACACCTGCATGACCAGGGGAATATATTTACTCAAAGCCCCTATGAGGAGTTTTTGACAATCATGAAACAGAAATTTGCAGTGGTGCTTTTTTCTGACAAAAACACACAAAATCATCACAAACAAGATGGGTTTAATTTGTTAGTTTTAACGCCTGAATCTGGTTTGACAGGAAAGAAACAGCTGTTTTTACAATTACACATCAAATACACACAATAAGTAAACCATTTGATATGCAACAGTCAGCTACTTAAGCCAATAATAAGACTGTTTTGTCCAGAGGGGGGCGCCAAAACTGACACTGACATTAAGTTCCTCACTGGAGCTTTAACTCAAACACCAAAGAGGTCAAATGAACTTTTTCAACCTTCTCCTAAAAAACAAGAACAGCTGCTGTCGATCACTTTCACTCTTAATTCAGTCGATATAAAACTCTATGAGACTGCTGCATGACTCAGCACTTCTGATCCCTTCGTATCATTCAGATTAACAAGCCGATGACTCAGCACACTCTCACACTTGCACGAGCCAAATGCAGGGCAGTAAAAGTGTGAACGTCTGCTCACGATGACTAAGTGAAATCACACGTTCACTTTTCAGTAAATTGGCTGAGTGTTTCACCAAACAATTTCACTGTAAGTCAAAACAATCAGAGGAGTCTTCACGATTTCAGTCCTGCGAGGCCTTTCAAGCATTTTTAATCTGGTTAATTTAAGCTTCAATAATCCAGGAAAAGGACAAATAGAGAGACTTAAAGTTTTAAAGGCTCTTTGTCAAACACTGAGAGTTTTCCTGAGCTGAAGACACTTTTACAACTCCAACCATATTTCAAACGTCTCCATCCCTCTGCTCTTCGCCGAAGGCTGCGAGTACACTACAGTGCAAAGTAAGTCAACAGAGACCCTGAGGATGTACACATGACCCAAATATTTCTGTCCTTCTCTGACAGGCTGTTACCTAACTCTGCGCTGCACTATGCTGTAATTATGGAGTCAAGGGGCAATGACAGGGTCTTATATCACACTCCGGCTCTCTACTGAGTTTCTTTCAGCACGAATGCAAAGGTAAAATCTAGATTTGTAATGCGCCGCAGCTTCAAAGCTTGCAGTTTACAATGAAAGGTAACGTTTGTATTGCATTGTGTATCCTGTGTTGCCCAGGTGCTTGTAAAAGCAGGATACGAGTGCTGCGCGTTCTTTCAACCATGTAAGCAAATGAAGTTGCTACGCCTTTGTGTAACCATGATGACAAAGTGCAACATGCATGTGTATATGTGTGTGTGTGCGTGTGTGTATGTGAGTGTGTGTCTTACCAATGATGACCACAGGGAGAGTCTCACCAGAGAGGACTTCTTTATCGTTAAGATCCATTTTAACTGAAAAGAGAGAACATAAACGTCAACGTTACTAACATAACTTTCATAAATATTTCTGCATCATCACTGCTGTCAGCTTTATCATCATCATCATCATTATTATGTAAGACAGAGAAAGTGGAGTAAAGGGGAAGAGGTGAGTCCTGTGAGCGATCACCGCAAAGTCACTGAATGACAGAGATTGTAAAACTGTAAACGCAGCATGACTCAGCTACGAATGAAGCTGTCGTACAAGATGATGACTCGGCAGAAAACAGACAAGCAGGATGTTTTTTATCATTCATGATTTTATTATTAATTATTTTATTATTTTTAATATTATTATTTCTGCCCCGTCATCATTTATTTATGTCTGTAAAATAGAGAAAGTAGAGGAAAGGCGACATCCTATCATGAGTCACAGTGGTCAGTCCGTATATTTCCACTTACTTCACACACACACACACACACACACACTGTTGCCCTGTCTCTCTGACCTCATGGTTTAACATAGCGACCTGACCGCAGAGTAAACAGAGACACAAAGACACCGAGGTATGACTGCTACAACCTCACACAACAAAGAGTGTGTGTTTGTGGGTGTGTATTTGTGAGTGTGAGTGTTTGTATGTCACCTCAGGGGAGTGAGTTCAAACACACACAGATACAATAGCTCACTTTTTTATCGTTGAAATTAAATGAACTTTCCTGCGTTTTTTATCAATAAAACTTGAATTAACTTCCCTCATTAATTAAAGTACAAAGGCAACATTATTGATAAAAAGTGTTTAAAGTCTGTTTAAAAGTTTCAAACGGCTGCTCTGTTCACTTTATGAATTCATGGTTTATTAGTCAAATTTGTGAGTAAATGTGAAAATATGCGAGTCTGGTTCTGCTTTAAAAAAAGAGGAGTTTTGAGGATCTTTGCTTTTAAAAGAAGTCTTTACAAATACAACGGAGTGGACGCAAAATATGAACAATCTTTTTTCTCTGGAGAATAACTAAGTAAGTGTTTTACATAAAAGGCATTTAAATCTACTGACTGTAAATATGACTTGAGGCATAAACGACTCATAAATCATGAACACGTCAGATGATTGAGGCCTTACTCAGCCAAACAATACAGTTCAGTCTAACTCACAGAGACGTGCGCCTCCATCAAACCTGACTACACTTTAAGGTGCCAAATCATAAAAAAAACATCAGCCAAAGCCGTCTGAGAAACCGAACTCAGAGAAATGTAATCCGACCGCCTCATGATGGCCTTAAGCGACGCCGCAGTCAGACTCTTTTGTCTTTTCTACAGATGTTTGTGCAGATGCCAACGAGAGCGATCAGCCTGCTGCAGCGAAAATTGTTTGAAGATAATCTGCTTCACCAGAACTCTTCTGTTTGCATGATTAATGTGCAGCACCTTTCTAATTTATGCTTGTAGAGTGTTTTGGCTTTTACATAGTTGATCATATTTGCAGCTTGCTGGCTGTTTGTGCGGCTGTTTCAGGTTTTTAGGTCGGTTGTTTCACTTGTTTTGGACTTTTACATGTGTGGACGTGTTTTAGAATTTGCAGCATGTGTCTCTTAATAAAAAACTGATTGTGCAGGTGAAGGTTGAGCAGTGTGTGACTGGGATGGTTAGGTTTTTCATGAACTGGACTAATGCACAACAGCAACTGTCACTTACACTGACAGACTCTTTATTTACTTCCACAAAACAAAACACGATTTTCACTTCGTTGGTTGTGGTCCCATTAAGAGTTGAAGAGTAGACAAATCCAAGAAGACTTTAGGGTGTAGTAGTTGCCTGAGATTGTCAAGTTGCAACCACAGCAGCTTAAAAACCGGTGTGACTGAAGGGGTGTGTCCTGGTGGAAAGCCTTTATTTACACTGAGATAATGATACGAAGTGGTATAAATAAATAAATACAGCTCATGTAAACACTGAGCCAGTTTTATGCCAGACTGCTGTTCTTGGAGTTTTCCCTAACCCCTCTTTGAGCTTCATGCTCCTCTTGAATCTCACATGAATCCAAACATCATTCTGGATGTTGCACTAATTTGGCGTCAGTTAGTCTGCGAGTCCCTGACAGCCTGATCGAGCTTCATCTGAAAGCATCACATTAAACCCGGTCATCCATCAAATAAGTTAAATGTGCACATCCTGAGAAAAAACGGCGTTATTCTCTGATTGACTGTGGTGCAGGCTTTTGGGATGTTTTCACCCCGCTGTGTAGAAAAGTGAATTCGGCCCTTATTTACGGGAACAAAAGACTGTTTTCTAATAAATGTTTGCAAAACAAGGAAGTGCTCGATTGAAGCAAACAAGAGTTATTTCCTAAGGTACGCGACACTTCATGATACTTTGGTACTTCATAACAATGCAGCTGCTGATGCCAAACTGTATCGAGGTCAGACACCTGCCCTTTGAGAAGTCAGTCAGAAAATAAAACCTGCATGTTTGCCTGAATAAATGTGCAGGTGTGGCCTCTTAATGTCCACTCATTTATAATTTCCTGCACAGAAACACACTTTTCTCTACGCAGGGTCAGATTAAATTAAGCTCTGCTGAATGCAGCAGGTTGTCAGATGTGTCTGAGTGTCAGACATAAAAAAGGAAAAGTTATTCAGGTCAGGATGATAGTTCTGGTCTCAGAGCGACAGGCGGGGCGAGCGCAGACCTCTGCGGGTGTCGGTTGCTCTTAAAAAACTGCAGAGTCATTCTTACACAGAAGGGCGGGGGGGGCACAGTTCCAGGGAGGAGTGATAAAGGTGAACAGACAGAAAGAGGGAGAGAGTGAGGGAGGAAGAAAGAGAAAGGGAGGGAAAAATGCAAACAGAGGAAGGAATGAAGCAGAGAGAAATTTGGGGAGATAAAGAGGGTTATATAAGGGCAGAGCGGAGGTTGGCATGGAGCCCAGATAAGAGATCGCTTCACTGCCAGAGAGTGCACGCACACACACATTCACACACTTACTGTACACACAGGCACGCTCACACACACACACACACACTGTACAGGACTACGTGCAGCACTACTAGCCCAGTTTCCTTAAGGGTCTTGACAGAATAATTGGCGTCCCTCGGTTCTTTGGCAGAAAGGACGAGTTTTCCTGCCAAGAGAAGGTGACTAACATCTGATTTACAGTAAAGACCCTCAAAGATCAACACAGCCACTGAGGCTCTTTGTTTTCTGTCTCCATTCATGTAAAAATAGCATAAGAGGAGCACTCTTTCAGAAGTTGTTGTTTATTATTGGTCCATCCTGCTTTTAAAATACCCTGAACATGCAGTCATAGGGACATTTCTGACCGGTAATTATTTTAATATGTAAAAATTTGTCATCCTTGTGACTTTGAACTGAATAAAGCATAAGAGAAATATCTGTTCCTCTGAAACAAGAGATTTATTCAGTATCTGTCCCCAAAAAGCTGCTCCAAAGTCTCTTAATTACAAACCAAACTTAGAGCACAAACATTTGTGGATTTTAAAGTGGACACATATTTTGATGTGTTTTTTAATTTAGGCAGAGTTTCCTCAAACTGCAGGTAATCCCTTTTTGGACATGCACAAACAGAGAGATGTCAGAGTGATGGGGTACTGCAGCAGGATGAACCATACAAAACATCGGTCCATCTCCGGCACCGACCTCAGATGAACTCTTCTGGAGTTCTGAAAAAGCGGATAGGCTCCTGTTTTCAGTCCACCCAGGAGGGCTGACTCTTCTGATGGTGTTTTGCTGTTTGCTGCACAACTCCAAACAGCTGGAGGATGATGTGAAGCATCAGACTGTCGACGAAAATGACGTTTTGAAGCATGCTTTTTTTGCAAATGCAACTCGGGACTAAATGGACTCAAATGTAAGGTACAGACTGCTTGCTGTCGAGCAGGTTAATGATCTTGTGTTAAACACTCATCAAACTGACACATGATATGCTTTCATAACATCACGTGCAGCATAAGCAGCATGTCTGCAGAGAGGGAGGACTGCCAGCAAATACCTGTGTGAATGTGCAGGTACATTTGCATAATGTAATCATCCTTTGTGATGCAAGTCTCAACCATCAGAAACAATCACAAACACTTCCTCTGACAGCCTCCTGCTTTCAGTCAGAGGCTCACACTGTCATCACATTTTCTGCACACAAAGACGAGCTGAGATTCTGCAGCTCAGGACGTGTTGAAACAAACCTCATGTCTAAAGTTCTCTGAAGATTTCACCCTGACCCTGACAACTTCTGGATTTTCAACTTCTCCTTTACTCAGAAAAAATAAATTAGGTTGCACCAGTTCGTCTTCTTTAAAATTATCTAACTCCTCAAGTCTGTCTCTGACACACTTCTGAACCGCTCCATCTGGCACCTGCTCAGACGCCATCTTGAATCTCGCTCAGGCTGACCCGCCCCTCTGCCATCTGCAGCCGCCAGAAGGATAATGAGATTTCAATTATCGATGCGCTGACCAACAAAACGCCTACTTGAATCAGAGCAGACGGGCGAGGAGTCCAGGGAGGACGCCAAAGCGTTCCTTATAAACCCAGTCCATTTTTAATCAATAAGCATGGCGACTTAATACAGAGCATTTCTCACTCTCAGGTGCAGCAAGAAACTCTAAACCAGGTGTTAACGGTTAGAAAAATGTTAACACTCTGGTTGCACTTAAAAGAAGAGGCCTGTTGACTGGATTTACAATACTAAAGGTATGCAAACGAAATGCACAAACACCCTGCAGGGGGGGAAAAGGAGGAGGAGGGCTGCAAACCCTCGAGAAAAAGATGGTTCACCTTCTCAACCTTGAGAGTAAACAAGATCTGTTTTTGCACATCATGCTTGACAGTATTTCAGAGGAAAATATTGTCATTTTTCTGTGACCTTATTTACTTCAAAGCTGGATTTCTGCAGGAGAGGGCAGGTGTCTGAACTCTGCCTGCAGAAAGCTTCATCGTGCAAACAAAACAAGAGGAACTGTTTGTGAATACTCTCCATAAAAGATTTGAGACTTTCAGGATGTATTGTTCATTATTTCCCTCCGTGCCGGGCTCTGTATCAACATGAATCTCTCGATCTACATTATGTAGATTATCATCTGTTACATAAGCTCATACCTATCATCACGTTTCATCATGTGCATCGTTTGCTGACTTTACAGTCACGCCATTGCCTTACGTAAGTGTTAGTGAGAAAGTTACTGCTGAAGGTGGCTCTGTGTGGTTGGAGTTAATGTATATTTACAGATATTACTTCATATTTTATGTTTGCTGTTTGTGCACAAACAGCAAAGATTTCTGGCTTCTGCTTGAGGCTTGAAGTGAGTCGGTTCGCTCTACAATACAGCGCCACCACTTTTGAATTTCACCTAATTTAAGTGGGACTTTTTTTTTGGCAAACCAGTTTTTTTTTTATCAGCTTTCCTGTCCTCTTTATATTTCAATATTTAAAGATAATAATAAATTTAACTTCAAATACAAATGGGGTTCCCCAAGGCTCAATCCTGGGGCCTCTTCTGATTAACGTCTATATTCTCCCATATGTCTTGTGACACGCACTTCATACCACCTTGTTGCCAAAATGTTCTTTTACAATAAAAAAAAAACTGGCTTTCCAGGCCTTTCCTAATGGATTCGGAAGTAGCAGATCAGGTAGAATAATCAAATGTCGATCACTGATGAATAAATAACGTGCCTGAATAGGATCCAATATGACAGTTGAGATTCATCACTGCACCATGAAGACTTCCCCGAAATTTTTCAGCACACTGCACGACACTTCTTTTTAACCACCTTCAAATATCATGAAGTAAAAACATGCAGAGCTGCAACCTGAACTAAAATGAGCGCCATGTTTGAGGGCTTCAACAATAAAGGGAAAAACACATTAATGCACGTGTAACTAGGACTGGGCGATTATATGATCGTGATACATTTCAGTTCGATCACGGTGATCAGCTGTGAGCATATTTACTCGATCAAACATAGTGATATGTGCGTCACAACAGCCAATCAGAGTCCAGCTTTTCCTGCTTTTTTTCCCGAATGTGGAGCTAAACATGGAGCTGAGGACAGCAAAATAGATGTCAGCCATGACTTTGAGTTATTCTCCGAAGATGTTATTGTTGAGAAGTTATTCAACGTTGGTTGTGAGGCGGTGGTTCGGGTATCTCCTAAGCGACGTCGAGTATTGAAGCCACTATGTAATTATCTAGTATTTATCTACTTTTGTTGTACTGTTGAGTTAAAATGCTTTTTTTTTTTTTAGATTTTTCTAAGTTTGTCTTATTCAATTTGCTTTATTTACTTTGTATGTTAATAAAATGTTGAACTAATCTATATATTTTTTTTGTTTTTAGTACAGATGCTTTAAAATAGGCAGTCAAAATAATCGTTATAATAATCGAGATCGGACGATATGACAAAATATATCGTTATCTTTTTTTGCCAAATCGCCCAGGCCTAGTGTTAATATTACGTAGCAATGCATATTACAGCTGCATAATGACTGTTTCATCTACTCTACTCCTTTATTCACAATAGGAAACGATTCCTTCCTATAGAGGTCGATATTTCTGATAAGTCTTCACGTTACGGTTTGTCTACTATAATTAGGAAACACTGAAATAGCTGTTCAAACTGGAGTTACATCAGGACAGACTGTGAATATGTAACAGCGTGTGAGTGTGTAGCGTGTCTGTGTGCAGCGTGGACCCTCCCACCGACCGGCGGACTCACTGACTCTCTTCACGTCAGTGTGTGCTGAGTCCAGAGACCTGCACACACTGCGCCGCTGACACACTGAACCTGTTAAAGAAGCTTTATGAGGCCGAAGTGACTCATCTGCAACCAGCTGACCACACACACACACACATACATTCACAAAGACACACGCCTCAGTTTCCCGCATGCGCACGCATCACATTATTCTCTGAATCCGAGGTGAAGGTTACTCACAGATATATCACGGTTTTGTGGCCCTTCTTCCCTCTCCTTGTCAGTCAGAATCTTCCAGAAAAGAGAGAGGGATCTGTTTCGTCTTCTTGTCTTCCTCCGCGGTCTCTCACTCACTCATTCCGCGGCTCCGTTCGCGCTTTGTGTCTCTTTTCTTCCGTCCATGTGCTGCGCAGACCTCCAGCTGCCGGTCCGAGCTGCACTGTCTGGATTATATACCAAGACAGCAGCCGGGCCCGCTGACCAATCAGGAGCTGAGCCCATAGCCGGTAACCTCCCTCCCTAACCGGAGAAACTCCGCCCACTCCAGCGCTGCTCAGACGAACAGAGATCGTCTATTTGTGCAGATGCTTGAGGACAAGAGAGGAAGGAGGGTGACATAATGGAGCAGGGGACAGTTTAGAAACAGGAGGGTGACTAAACAGAAATATGAGGAGGTTTGATTATTAATTTAATGACAAAGACCATTAATGCAGGTTATGTAATCCGTAATCTGATAAGTAAACCGACAGATTAAATAATTGAGGGACTATTCTACTCAAATTATTCCAGTCAGGCACAAAAAGTTCTACATCACAGCATCTCAGAGATAATTTTTTAAAAAGTTTATTCATAATTAAAAGCTTTTTTATTCCTTTATCAGTCCTAAATTCATATTCAACTGATTATGATTATTGAAATTTTTGTTTTGTTTTGTTTTCTGTATTGTTCTGCCCTTATGCAGAATTCTTGTGAGTTAATAGAATACAGTAACAGACACACAAATATATACATTTTAACAGGAGTGAAAAGATCCTTTGTTGTAGACGATAAAAGAGTGATATGATGATTAATAATTAAGTTGAAGGTTGCAGTAAATGTGGTAAAAGTCTTTCTCTACTCAAAGGTGAAGGTGTAAAGGTCAGGATGCAGACAGGGAGGTCAAAAGGAGCAGGCTGCATCATTCTTATGGGTATGATATGATTAATAAAAGGCTCACTGATTACAGCAGTGAGCAATATAATCAGTTAAAAGGGTGGATTGCTGATAAATGGGCCTAAAAAAAACTCTTTAATCTTGAAAAAAGTTTCAGTTTAAGTTGCATATGCACACGCAAAAAGACAGACTCCCACCTGACTTTACCCGCTATTGTCCTGCCAGCTATCAAGGGAAATTTCAGCGCTGAGGTACAGTGAGTCGGTGTGAAAACGAAGCAGAAAATATTCAGGAAAATTCACAGCTTGGGTTAGGTGAGGGTAATGACTCGTGACCAGGCAGGTGTCAGGTAACACAATGAATGAAAGCATCAGAGGAGGAAGACAGGGTGTCTTCACACCGACACCAATCATGCAAATGTAAAAACTGTTATCATGGAGGCAGAGCTCAGGCAAATACAAAGTTTCATGAGTACTTTTTCAACAAAAAGCCTTAAAATGTATTTCATTTACATCTAAAAGCAGATAAATTGTTTTCTTAAAGCAGCAGGTAAGACTTTGTGGTAACAGTGAGTATATAGATAAAGGTAGACAAAGAAAAATTCAGTATACTCTGTAAAGAAAAATGAAGAAACCCACAATATTTAAATAAAACACAAGTTTAGTTAACAAAATACCCTCTGTAAAAGATAAACATGATTAAAACACAGAGACAGGTGGAAAAGTTTGGGTTAAAGTTCATGTTGGCATGACTTAACAGAAACAAACACACCCTTCCTCCTCTTAATGAGCGTTTTATTGATCCTCTTTGGATGTTCAACTGTGAGGTTAATTTTTAACTCAGTTAAAACACATTGATAAAGGAACAAGTCAGATTTATTCACAAAAAAAATAATCCTTTTTTACACATTTAATATCAAAGATGGATCCAGAAATCAGTCAGGAATGTGTTCAGTTTATGATCTCTGTCAGACGTTCATGCAGATGAATTTTTCCAATATGGCTGCCAGACGTGTTACATAACTTGAGGGTCCATTCAGAGCTGCATTTTTGAACCACTGTTTAATTTAGTATCTCAAGGAGTGTATCGATATTGAATTAAGACAGTGTCTAAATGTTAATGTGAAGTTTTCAGACTGAACTGATTCAATCAGAATAAAAACTGTGATGTTAAAAATGTGTCTTTTCATTTTTTTTTTCGGGGGGTGCAGTGGTGTCTGGAAATGTCAACAGAGTGGGAGCTCTTTATTTTCTCCTCCTCTCAGATGCTCAGACTCAGTCAGAAGCAGAGCTATGCACAAGGAGGGTTTGGTCAACTTTTCCAGCAATCTCTTTATGTAACTCCAGCTGACTAATATCGAGGTTTGGGTGTGTGTGTGTCTTTACAGCATTTATCTGGTACTGGGGCCCTTAAGGTGGTCCTAAGGAGCAGGTTTTTGTCTAAATGCATTTTCTTTATGTTTAAAACAGACGCAGAAATGTTCTTACAGTACAGTAGAGTTGACAATATAAAAATGGTGCAATATGAGAGGATTAAATACAGTTTGATAAAAGATACAGTATTTATAATATGTATGGTATGATACATTATAACATGGGACTCCACATTATGTATTGATGCAGCACTGTGTGGTATGATACCATGTAACGCAATACAATTCCATGCAATGCAAAACAATGTGATACATATCTATACATGATGTTGGTTTACAACATATTACCATGCAGTAAGATACAACAGATTAGAATATCATACCATATCAGAGAGGTTAGTTTACCTAATTATTATCATATAATATGAAACAGCACAAAACCAGAAGAAACAATTCTGTTTCAGTACAAAACTAATGTAATATAGTGGGATATGGTCTTATGTAATAAATTGTGATACAATACGATGGAGTTCATTATGATACGATACAATACGATAGATTTTATTATGATATGATTTGATATTATAACAAATGGTATTAAATTGTATTGTATCATAACACAATATGTCATAATACAATACAATACAATGTAATACAATATCGACACAATATGATACGTTACCATGGGATGCAGTTCTACATGATGTGATACAATATAAACTTATGCAATACCAAACAATACCGCATGATACTTTCCATTGTGATGAGATATGACATGATGAGATGAGATGAGGTAAGATGAAATAAATTAAGATTAAGATACAATTCAATACAACATACAACGATACTATACCATCCAGTTGTTTATAACATCATTGATCAGTATTGTAACAGTCCTGTATGAAAGGCAGAAACAAACCAACCACTATCGCAACCCATGTTTCCTCATGGCTCTGGTTTCCTCTCTTTCCACTATGACGTAAGAAGCTGAGGTGACCGCTCTTTGCTGAGTTCCCTCTTTCATCACTTCAGTTTTTCATTGGCTGACATCACCACAAGAAGAGACAGCGGACCAATCAGAGATGGCAAAAAATAAACCAGTGTCAGGCAGTAGGTTAAGAGGTCAACACACCCACTATGATGACACACTCAGCCAGATTGAGTTATGATTTTTTACCACCCGAGGCCCTTGAATATGAAAGTGACATTTTTCACATTTCTAACTTCAGGAAACTAACTGGTCAGCAAAGTTTAATGTAGACTAAGTTTAAAGGCTAGAGTTTCCTCTGTGTGCAAAGCGCTAAAGACTAGGACCAACAAAACCGGACTCACTCCTGGTCTTTCCAACTAGCATTGACTGAGGGAGCATCACTTTAAGCGTGAATGTGTTTTTGATAAAAGCCAGATGGATTTGGGACCAAGACCATGAAAGAATCTGCTGTTTTACATCAGAAGAGTCAGCTGAGGGGAAATGTTGCATCAGTGACTGTACTTCCTGGCAGAAAGATGGTGGAAAGACTGAGATGTTCATGAGTTTTCTGAGCATGAAGTGTTCATTAGAGGAGGTCTCATAGGTCTTTGAGCTTCATGAGAACAGCTGTTTTCATGCTTATCCATCAAATAAAGGAAGATTCAATATGGGTTTCAGTTTTGATCTCCAGTGTGGTTCAGACAGTGAGATAATAGAAGCCCTGTGAGGAGCATCAGCAGTTTATCTGTCAGCCTCTGGGAAAATGTAGACAACATGAAAAATGCATGTAGAGCAGTATGCAGATGTGTTGTGGCATGCAGAAGAGCAGCACTGTGTGAGAGACACTGCAGATGATGATTTTTGCATGTACAGAGTGTGCTGTTCTGCTGGCTGCAGGCACAGACTGTTCTCTGTTGCTGCAGAGGAAACTCTTCAGTTCTGCAGACTGACTGTGGATCTGTGGGTCCTGATAGGTTTAAAAGTTCTTTATGGTTTTCCCTTCCTTATAATTTTGCTTCCTTCAGATCCAGTTCACAGCCTCAGATCCATCTGCAGAACTCCACCCAAGACTGAAAAGGTAGAACACCTCCCTCATAGCACTGTGTCTGTGTATAGAGTTGGAGTTTCATTAACATGTCTTAAATCACTGTTCAAATATGTCTTTTGCATTCTCCAGCTATGTTGCATGACAACATAGACCTTTACACTGCACCAGTGCAGAGGTACAGAACAGGCTTCAGATCTAATGTCCCACCTCTCTGCACACACAGTGGACCCGGCATCTTTTACTTGAGATCATGGTTGTGGGAACAGTTGGAGAGTGCACCTGATGAAAGTCGAGCGGGACCATAATATTTTAAGGATCTAAATAAAAGCTGAACAAGAGCAATGTGCCGGACTTCCTCCTCATAGATCTGCCTCGTTTGAAAACCTTTTGTCCCTTTTTTATGTTCTTCCTGTGTCAATGTCCACACCAGACTTCCAAGGCCGACAGAGGCAACCATGGTGCAAAAGCACAGATGATTTCCTTCAGGACAAACGTGCTGCAAATTTATACATGATGCAAATCCAAACAACACATGCAACAACAGGGACATCTGGAGCTGCAAAGAGCCAAAACAACCAGATCTACAGCCAGCCTGCTGCACCGAGAGCATACAGTGTGAAGTCTAAAACACAAAAATAAACACTAAACAAAGTCATCAGAACAGAAATGCTCCAGGCCTTAAAGCTCTAAAGATGACTGATGTGCTCACAGTATTAGGTTACACTCAGGTTAAGTCAGTTTTTTTTCTTTCTTTTCTGTAGTGAATCTTCATCTGTGGTCAGCCCTGAGGGAGAGGCCGTAACTGCTTGAGTTGACATGAAGAGCAGCCAAATGACCCACTTTACCCTTCCTCTGGCAGAGACTGCAAAAGCATGTCAAACCTGCCAAACACACCAACCATGT